TAAAGTATACATCATAATGAGATAAGGAACTAGTAAAGTTGGCGTTATAATGTTCATAAATTTCTGTGATCACGGTTTGTAAATTTATAAATACTACTAAACGAAAACAAACAGGATGAGTTGTGACAAACAAGGTTGGGGCAATCAAGCTGGTGAAAATGTTGGAAAAAAATCCCGCTGCATGAAGTTTATTTTACAGTAACTGTCCACACCCATGACAAAACATCATGCATTTACATTTTTTTACAACCGACAGAAAGTGGAGGCTTGAAACGAGAAGAGGTTGAAACGGCCTTCTAATACCATCCTGGTCACCGACATAATCAATGTGCACTGTGAGCATGCATAAACACATGTACTGTATAGTGTGTTCAGCATACCCTGCGGTTTCAGCAGTCACTGACTCTGAACTCCCCTGTGGCTGCCGAGTTAATTGAACGTGGTTAGGAGTAGATACTTGGGGTCTTACAGGGTTTGTGCACAAACCCCTTGTGCAAGGGGTGTTTGTGTAGAAGTATTAAGGTACCAACTTTTACGACAGTGTGCTGGTAATGAATGAATATCTAGAACACCGCGTTATCTGATTGCACATAAATATAACAATTTCAATTCCCCAGACTAAAGAGACTACATGTATTGCTATTTAATTCATGATTCAGCGGCAAACGTTTGCAAAACGACCACCATCTCTGGAGTGGACTGGTTCCTTTGTGCCCTTCCTATCCATCGAGAACATTGTATTGGTGCAAGGTCACGGTTTCTTTTGCAAAAGCCTATATATCCAGGTCAATTTCAGGTTTTTTATAGGAGTTCCCACACTGTGGTATTGCATTGTCCCGTTCCTTGGTGTCAGGTCGTTGCGGCCTTTGATTTTGGCCTTGTAATTCTCTGGAAACTGAATGCAAATTGTGCCCAGTTACTGACACGTAACCTCCCTCGAGACCATGCATGCAGTTTCCAAATTGCCCCTCAGTCTGCAGACCGGCATTGGAGTGAGCACATCACTACCATTTTACTTGGCTCATGTCAATTTCGATCTTTGCCACACAAGTACTTGATCTGCTGTAGACTTGGTAAGTCAACTTACTTTTGTTGTTCTGTTTTTAATACACGACTATGAGAGTCCACAATGGGGATCCCCTGCAAACAGCTTTGTCTATTGAAATCTCGTATTTTTTTTCATGTCGCATTATCCGGCAGGCTGCCGGATAGGTTTCTGCACCGCAAGCGCAAGGTCCTCTCTGATGCGACCGTAATTAACGGACGACGACACTGTCTCTGTCGTTTGCTCTACAACTGACAAAGTCTTTATTGACGCTCTCATCATTAAAATAGGGTTGACAGACTGCTAAACTTCATTGGTGAGTCAACGGACTGCTTGAAGTTGGATGGTCTACGGGTAGATGGACCAATTTGATGGGTCGACAGGACCAATTTGATAGGTCGACAGACGGAGCCCTGTAATATTAGGAAAAGAGCACAATTACTTACATGTAGATAATACGGCATTTACTACACACACTGCATGGTGCAAATACTGTGTACTGTGACCAATCACGTAACACTTTCTTGGGTAGAGAGTCTGTGTCCTTAAACCAAAACATCTAGGGTGAAAGCTTTCACATAACACATCACAAAATGACCGTTTAGCGCACAAGTAAAAACTCTTAATCTCTGTTGGTGGGCATGTACTAACTTTGAAGTCTGGCATACAAAAATCATGTAAAAACACTTGCAACAGTCAGAGTGTGATACATACTGCTTGGAATATGAATATACATCATAATTCTGGAGCTAACCTGGATATGCTAAGCTTCTCTCCTAGTACCTCTGCCTCGACACAATTTAACACAGACGCCACTTGAGCTACATAATAGAATAGAAATTTATCCTTTACAAGGTTTACAAACATCATCCTTAATTAATCACCGACGAGGATATTGTTGAATCGAGTGTGCCAAACCGGGGGATAATCAGAACAAGTGGAGAAAAGTACACTGTTAAATTACTTGAGATGAATGCCATGGTTGGGATTGATCATAAAAACAAGCAAGCAGTACAGGTCCATCAACATTATAAGTCATACAGTCTATCATACTAAGTCACCAAAATAAATTTAAAATGAAGTTACATATACACACAGGTAGATCACACGAAAATATTCTAAGGACAGCAACTCACTCCATATGGCTACTGTGTGGACTTGAGTGTCGGGCTGTTGATCGGTGGTTTGTTGGGTGGTGGTGCAGACTGAATTCTGACCCTGGCATAGGCCTGAAATGTCCGTTGCAGTCTCTTGATGGATATTTCCATCACGAATATGATTTGTCACTTGCAAGTTTGACCAAACCTTTTTCAAAGTTTGATTTGTATATAAACTCCCCATTGGTCAAATATTTGAAGGTTCATTGTGTAACTCTGCTAATCAGCAGGATCAGCAAATTTTCTCCCAGTTTCCAACAACCTGCAACCTCCAGTTTGATGAATCTCCCAAACAATGGAAACTGACCTTCTTCTTCTAAAAAAAAACTTGGTCAGGGCTGTGGGAAAGTTCCCCTAAAACAATAGACTGGATTAGCAAGTGGGGTAAACATTGTAACCTCCAGCCCACCATGGCATACCACAGATGGTTCCGTTTGGATTGTATAAGGTTGGAAAATGTACGTGAAACAACGGGAGCAGAATAAAAAATCAAGATAACCCACAAGATATATATATTTTCCCCCATTTTCTTACGTTCAGCTGGTGAATATGGCTGGTAGACTATCGGGAATCAGATTGGCAAAATTTGCAGCCACATCATTGCGAGTTTGTCGTCCTTTCCCTCTGGTACATACAGCAGGAACTGTATTCCGTCCAACGACGCCGCAGAAAAGTACGCCGAGTCGAGGAGGTCCGAGGAAGTACTTCTCAGCAAAGTCGGAGCACGCAGTCTTTGCCCCGCCCATATCACTGGAGGACCATGCCGGTACCCACAATCAAGCCAAGATGGCAAGTGATGTTTGGATGGATGTGGAAAACAAGCAGCTCATCGTTTCTTGGAAGGGAGGCCGGAGTCAGGCTTTCCCGTTTGTCTGGCTCCGAGACAACTGCCGCTGCCCGCGTTGCTTCCATCCCACAGCCATATCTCGCAAGACTTCCGCCTGCGAGCTCAATGTTGATATCACTGCTAAATCGGTTGAAATGTCTCCCTACTCTGATGGCGTCATCATCCACTGGGAAGACGGACACAAGAGCCAGTTCCCCTTTCATTGGCTGAGGGCATACTGCTTTGTCGACTCCAAGCAAGACCAATATCTGGATCTCAAGTTCGACTTTTGGGGCCCCGATATCGATCTTCAGAGCTTCAACTTCGATGACGTGCTTAGGGACGACCGAGCCTTGTACAACTGGCTGGTTGAGCTGGTGATTCGAGGCATTGCGGTGGTAAAGAACGCTCCGTCCGAGGTGGGTCAGCTTCACAGTCTTGGGGGACGAGTGTCCTTCCTACGGCCTTCCAACTACGGGTAAGCACTAGTTGCTAATTTAGCCTTAGTTGCGTATGTGTTTTTCCCCATTCTTGTGGGATTGTGGTGACGCCAGTCTCATAATCCCGTTATTATTAATTTTTAACAAGGATTTTCTTCTTAACGGTTTTAAGTTCCTATATATGGATGACCTCTGCACCCTCAAACCATTAAATCCGAAAAGCAACATGAAAAGTTAGTGAGCTTTGACCCTAAGCAGTTGTATGTTTGCTTTCAAGTAACTGCTCCGAAGGGTAACAAGGCACATGCTATGAAATAGCCTTTGGCTTTGCTATCCGCCGGGGTAAAGTTACCCAGGCACTGCCTCTGGAAAGCCACAAAGCTTCTAAGAGGCCTGACAGCCTTCAGAAGTCGTTTATGGGTCACAGACAGGGTCTGGGCAAACCAGGCACTTTTTGATGTAAAAAAATACAGGAAGACTCACATCTGGACGATGTTTGAACACAGTTAAATGGCACTTGGCCAGGGACCGGCTCGAATTTTTCCCCCTGTTCAGGGGAGGCCCCGTAGTTAAATGTGACTGAACCAGGCTGTTCAGCATGAACAGAGGCGGGATTACATGGGAGGTGATTGCAGTTGGCCGTATTTGTTATCAATTAATTAGCAAAAACGGCGTACACAGGAGACGTCATTGATTCCTGTAAAATTAATTACGTACTTGCATCAATCAGTATGCTTTCTTATGTTTGCTCTCAAATCGCATCACGAAAAGTGCGCTAAATTAATGTTGAGGCAGTGCAGCAATAGAGGGCGCTGTTGCAAGTCTAGCAGAGAAAAAAAAGAAAAGATTGACCCCTCTGCTTAAAATCGACGCGCTGGCTGCCCACAGACAAAAAACTTTTTGGCTTTACCCCACGTCTCACAAAAACGCACCACATATTGTAATTATCATTTACTGTGGACGCCTTGAAATGAAAATATTGTTTTTAAAAATAGTTCTCTTGAATCAATTTTAACCCCCTTTTAGACCAACTTTCCACGTCAAGAGCAAAGAAGACCCGAATAATGTAGCTTACACAAGTGGTGCCTTGTCTTTACACACGGACATGTCATATTATATTCAGCAACCAGGGGTAAGCATTAGTTATGTCCAAACTAATTAATTACAGGAAATTTACACTTTTCAAAAGACGTTCAACGTTTTGGGCAATTGTTCAGTCCTTCAGAAAGCTTAGTTTGAGAGAGATTAGTTCTGGGGAAAAAGTGAAGTCTTGAATGAAAACACACAAAATTTTCTGATTTTTTGTGTCCACTTTTGTCCGATTTGATAAACAGAATCTTGAACAAATATGCATCCAATGATTCTCCTTTGAATTTACTTGTAATACTAGTTCCAAATGCTGCACTGCATAGAACAAGCGGACGGTACTGGCGGCGAGAGTCTCTTCTGTGATGGCTTCAAGGTTGCCATGGATCTGAAGAAAGATGACCCAGAGGCCTTTCGACTTCTGTCCACCATTCCGTTCGAATTTTCTGACGTGGGCACAGATTACTACGGCAGCTTCCACCAGTACTCCCGGCATCCGACTATTAAGTAAGGGTAGCAGATAGGCCATAGGCTAGTCACACGAAATACGTTGAACAATGACAACAGAAATCGTTTCTTAGAATGGCATGTAGCTTAAGACTGGACACCAAAGCCTTGCACTTTACAATATTGTGATTGTTCATTGGCGTCCTCTGGTGATCTTGAGGGATCCTGACGCGCCATTGTTGTCCAGCCTAGTATTAAAATTGTATCTTTTTTTCAAAAAAAAAAAGGATTCCGTTTCACCGACACCGCCATTGTATATTAATCAGATTTTAGTCGACTGGTCGCGTTCATCGACGTTTCATACAATGTAGCTGCCAACGGCAATTTGGCCGAAATGTATCCTTTAAAGAAAATCCATTATCCGTTTCGATGTGCACTCACAAAAAAAATAAATGAAAGAAAAATTCAACATTTTGTTTTTGCATATTACAATCATTTTATCCCGCTAAGACTGGACGAACGCGGGGAAGTCGTGTCGGTGACTTTGAGCGACCACGGCCGAGACCCAATGCTGAGGGCTCCTCTCCACCAGGTCCAGCCGCTCTATCGAGCTTTGAATAAGTACTGCAACATGCTTCTCGACCCGCAAAATGTCTTCAAATACAAAATGGAGAGAGGTACGCACTTTTACCATTTTTTTTAACTTGATTCATAAGCCGTTGGAAGCATGACAGTGATGATAAGGGCCAAGAAATGACCCAGACGCATTGTTGTATTTACGGTATGGTAAGATAATACACAAATCATAGTTATTGCTAGTTTGTGTAGTTTATGTAAGCGGAACGCAGAGGCAACTTGAATCTGACATGCTGACGGGAATCCCGGTTTCGGGTACCTTGGGTTTGTATGCCTAACCAGGGTGCCTTAAATTGGACAAAATAGCGGGGGCTTGTGATAAAAGACCGTATTGGAGCTGCTGGGAATTTTTTCAGTTGTCAATAACAGAGGAAATTCGTCACTATTTTGAAAGACTACACCAGTTTGTGGTATTCAGCGTCAGCGGATTACCACTGGCGACAAAAGCACTCCAGCTCTCCGTCCATGTGCGATACAATACCGCTGCACGCTAATCTGGCCCGTTTTGAAAAGATGCTAGCAGTGTACTGTGCCAGTTTCGGGAACAAAAGAAACTTATGCACTTGTAGGAAACAACACACAATGTGGGCCAGGCGGTATTCCTGGCTGAAATATTTGGACATCAATATATGTTGTCTTTCAGATTAGAGTAGACACCGGGCGGCTATTTGATGGAGTTTAGGCGTTCATTAAAAAAAAAGGGAAGTGAATTTCTGAAGATTTTTGAAAACCGATGATATTGAAAATCGCCCAATTTTAGACACTGCGTTTTCAAAGGCACCCGGCAGCAAGTAGTTACTGCAAGGCATTATTTTTCTCTTCAAAAGTGACACGTTGCTCGCTTGGCTGCGGGTCATCAAGGCCACCAGAGAAAGATCTCTTCAAATAACAGCAATAGACCCTTTCCCCTACGTAGTTGATTCCATTTCCGAATCCAAACTATAGGGAAATTTTAGCTGGTATCTGGCTTGAGCACAGCACCCACTCACCGGTTGATGGGAGTGTTCACGTTGATAGCGACACAACCGTAACGCTTCTATGTCACATTTGTCTGTGAACCAGCAAAGTGCAGTTCCTTCCACGTATTTTCTCAAGGAAGGTATAGCTTTTATCATAAAAAGGTACGTCTAAACCTGCACGTCACTTACCAAAGTTGTAGCGATTTGATCAGAGAGATTCTGGCCAGTGGGCAGGATTACTGTCGACGTTCTCGTTGCCAAGGCAAGTATTGCTCGGCAGTTATGAAGAAGCGTTAATGTAGTTGTTAATGTAGTTCTCTTATTTTTCCTTCTTCCGTGATACTAGATGAAGACTTAGATGAAGTATTTAAAGACTGTACTTATTTATAAATTAAAAAAACGTTTTCATTTGGGTGTGCATGACTTGACGACCGCATTATACCGTCAGTGTTTTCACGAAGCTACTAAAACCTGGAAAATCGATAATTTTTCGATCTGGAGTTTTTTTCCTACCGTTTTACTTTCTTTAATTCAAAGAACAAATTATCAGAGTTTCAAATAAAGATTTTGTTTACTTCCTAGTAACTGTAAACAAACAATTAACAAAAGGCTTGGTCTCTATGTTTCTCTGTTTTCACAAAGTGACAGAAAGTCACATCGTTAGCAGGGCAAAAATGGAGACAATATACACAATTCCTCCACAAGTCTGTGTGGGTGCACATGCGTGGAAACGATGTTGCACACGAAATGTTGGAATGTGACGAAATGTAACAATTTGCGTATTTTTGGACGAATAAAGACCTCCGGGTTTCTTGTTTTCATTTTCCACAACATCAGTGAAAAGAGCATGTTCTTCTGATTATTTTTATACCACATTTGCATATTTTCAATAAAAAATGAGAGGGTTATGTATTATTTTTACTAAAAGGATGCATTTGTAAGTGAAAACTGTCAATTATTTTAATAATTGCCCTGACCACATGGAAGGGCGGATTCCGCTAAAAATTGGCAAGTATTAATGTCTACAAGCACAGCAATTTGTAAGACATTCTGAAGACCCAAGGTCAAAAAGTGTGTTGGTCTGACAAGGAATGATCCCTAAAAGAAATTTTTCCTTGTATATGGTGCAACTGTAAGCCTAACCTAATTTGTTTTACTTCCTTTTTCTCCAATTTCACAGGGGATATCATGACTTTCAACAGCCGGCGTGTTGTGCACGGCCGAAGCTCTTTCAGAGTGACTCAGGCTAGTGGTCGCCATCTTGAAGGGGGTTACCTCGAATGGGATGAGATCAATTCACGTCTACGTGTCCTGGCAGCACAGCTCAACTCAAAGTCTGGTGAATGAGAAGCAGGAAGTTGGGGTGAAAAGGTTCACGTACGTGCTTGTGTTTTATTCTGCCTTAAGTGACGAAGATGAAGAACACGTCCACCAGAGTCTTCGACTGGCGTGAGACTAAGAGTATCTAGACGTGCAGTGCATGATTTAAATGATAAAAGATACAAAAGAGTGAATTTCCAACGGATAAATAACATGTAAATAAACCACGAATATCAATGTCACTATAGCTTGGTACAAACTATGATACTTCGGGATTGACCCTGCCACCATCATTAATCACGGTCACAGTCAGCATGCTGCTGATGAGTGCTCAGTTGTCCCCCCTCCCGAAAATAGTGATATTGGCTCTCGTGTGGCGATGGCAGCAGAGCCTGACACCCGTTTCAGAAACGAGTTCTAGAATTAAGAGTGTCTTTGGTAGACCCAATTAAATTTGGCCACAGGTTTGAGACACACGAACTCAATACATTTGCATCATTACAGGACGGAGCCCAATCTAGTGTTACGGTCTGGAGCCCCAAATGCTTGTGTTTTTATTTTTTTTTTATTACACTTGCTCAAGAGATCCTTGGTATGGTGACCTCTTGCCCGGCTGCAGTAACCTCGGGCGCCGTTCATGTATACTGTGCATGTAGTTAAAGCTCCGGCGTACAGTTTATCTTGACCCTCTATACCATGGAAAAAAACTGTGTTTGCATTTTGACGCAAAAAAAATGATTCTGGTATTCGCTTGTACAGTGTATGAGAAAGTGTATTGATATTGTTGCAGCAAGTGCCAAATAGGACTGGAGTGGAGACTTTGAAGAGCGCCCTCTTCAAAGCTGCTTGTTCTCAGCTACGTTTTTCCGAGACAGTTTTGCCGAGTTTTGTGACAAAACACAACAGATATTCCAACTGGAAAAACAGTCTAGTGTAATTATACATTTTGTTAGGATTTCCCTGCACGTTTGGTCACATTTACAGATTTTCCATAGAATGAACGGCTGGCTGACTGTATTTTGAAGCTTTACAAAGAGGATCGGTTGGTAAGGGTTTATATCTTTATCAATCATAGGTTAGCTTTGGGGTTAAACTCTGTATAAACTGAAAACTATTGTAGGCTTAATTCTGCAACAGCAATTGATGTGGTTGAATTTATTTCTTTTGCCATAGGTTTCTTTTTTTAACATGTAAAATAAGCCACCGTCATTGACCGTAACCACTGCATGTAGAACAAGGAATAAACTTCGGTGATCAGTGCGAGCAACCCAAACATGGTGTAAAGCCTCCAGTCTATCCCTGGACTCCACATAAAAATACTACAATTATACTTTTTATTCAAGATCAAGATTCATGCTAACAATTCATAGATTTAAAATTACTACATATAATTAGAGGAACTAAAGAGGAAGTGAAAGCTGGCAAGAGAAGTTAGTGGGCCTGATTTTCGCGAGTATCCAAATACAAGGTGACCAACGACTGTTTTATGTGACACACGTTCCGTAAAGCCTACAAACCGTATATTTTCTTTGAGCTGTCAATTAACCCGAGTTTTCTTATTAGATACTTAGGATGCATTTTCCTGTGTTAATTTCTTTCAAGCCATGCTTTCCGGACAGCGTCTTAAAGTTATCCGATTGGCAGGAATTCTTCCTCTGGTTTGGTTGTATTCCCCGACGATCCAGATATGATGAAGATTCCTTACAAGTAAAACTTCGGTTTGCGTACGATACGCACCGGCAAGAACCCCCTCCCCGCTTCGTGCGTACGTACTTTATGGATGGCCCCTAATATCCTGAGTTCGGATGGCTTGTTCTCGTCTGCACATAATACAAATCCATTTATTGTCGTGTTTGGCCGCTCAAGCTCCGGGAGCGTGCAACCAGTAGTGGCAAGCAGTATGCAACATGGTGGCGTCCACGTACGTTCTTCGAGGGTAAAATGCTTCCGCAGTTGTTTGTGTTAGGCCGTGTGCCACAAATGTCCATGTTCAGTTATTGCCTCAATCTTAATGAATTTTTTTCTTCAGTTATTTTAGGAATAAAAGCCAAGTTGTTCACAGAATTTTGTGGGGGTTTTTTAATCATTTTCATTCTGGCATTTACGCAAAAATTATTTCACGAGATCTCACGATCACTCCTTGTGATGAAATAGCGCATTTTGTTCATTATGAACTTTGCTTCAAGTGGTGGTCAACATGCTGTTGGCCAGTCTTAGCCAAATTCTTATCAAGTCTTCGAAATCTGATGTTTTTGAGGGAAAAGAATAAAATTACAAACTTTGCTTGAAAAATGGACAGTACGTGTATCCAAAAGAAATTATCCGCGATAGCTAAAGTAGGTCTAACATCAGGGATTTCTCTCTCTACTGCGTGCCAGAGTTGTTTGTCCTTCCTCCATAAATTGTTTGGAAAGGGTTGTTGTTTTTGTTTTAATGGCGCTTTCAGCAACTCAGGCTATTTGCGCCAATAATTGTACGTTTATTCATACCCTTTATTATTCGGCATCACATTACCGAGTTAGGACGAAGGTCCAGTCTTAGAGGCAGGAGGAAACCGGAGTACCCGGAGAAAACCGAGTATGAACTGGAAACCAAATGCACTTATGGCCTGGGCCAAGCCGGGACTCTAACCTGGGCCTCATTGATGCAAAGCGAGGAAAGCACCTCCACGATAACCCGTTTGCATAGGGATGTTGTGAATGATTCTTTTTATACCGAGGAGGGAACACCATTAGCCTTTGATTAATGCAATGGGTGCGTTCGATTAGCTTCCCTGAGTACAGCAGTGTTACACGCAAGGGAAGCCTCGAAATGAGGCTAATCGAACGCTGCAGTGTATTTGCCAAGGCATTCTGGGAAAAAGGTCAAGTCCCCGCCACGGTTCCATTACGTCCATGCACGAAGGGTGTACCACTACAAATAAATTCCCATAGACAGCAGTGATAAATCCCCATACTTCAAATTTTTTTTTAAAATACTCACAGCTCTCACAGGTGTTCAGGATGCACAGAAAAATGATGTTCCACATGACCTCTTTCATTTTCCTTCCAATTTTTAGTGGGTTGACCAATGACTTGTTGAGAAATTCTCTACTAAGTAGACCACCCCTAAAACGAAGGAAATATCACTGACCCGGAAAGTAGCCATTTTAAAAATACATCCCTCTGCTAAATGGCTCAAATAGTGCCCTTTTCGGTCTCGATTGCATCCAATTGCTCAGAATTGGAAGCCCTGGTGAGTCTAGCCCAGAGGTTCAGTGCCATATTTCTTCAATTCCCCAGTTCTATGGCCCTCAGGACCCTCTAATATAGAATATTTTGAGTGTATAACTTATTAATAAGCTCGGCGGATAGATTTCTGGGATTTTTGCAAGGGTGCACCATATGTGGGCCTTACGGCTGCTCGTTCATACTGCAAAGATCGCCCCCTCTGTTGAGATTTATAGACAAGGCTCGAGCCTGTAAAATTATCGGATTCTTGTAGACTCCATTCTAGTAGTTATTTGACATTACAAATCACTCGCCACAGTAATTAGCAAACACAGTTAATAGAGTCTAAATTGTGTCTGAATTCTCTGGGCAAGGTTAAAGAGGAACATGTATCTCAAGTATCTAATCCAACGAACTCACTGTCTGGAAAAACTGATAAACCTTAAATCGTGGAAATACATAAATTGCTGCTGAAATTGAGGTTGCATGAAAAGTATCTTGAAATAAATAATTATCTCAGTTGAAAGTTCCAAAAGTGTTCACGTTCTCTCTAGAAACTTATCTTGCTTGGAGAAAACAAAAGAATACTGTACTAATTCAACATATCTTTGAAACACATCTATATCTCCGACAAGACAGCTTAGATATATACTGCATAAACTCCATAACATAGCATGTTCATAGTTCTCAGTCACAATTCAATAGTCAAGGACAATCGTGATTTAAATATTGTCTAAACTTCAATGCATATCTGGAAATAAAAGTGGAGTGGTCACTTACTTCTTTGGCAAGCCTCTTCTGTCAGTTACTGTAACTTGTGTGTATCAAACATGAAAGCTGACAAAATTCGGGTTCATTTTACTGCAAACTTTCTGTAAACTGCATAGACAAAGATGGCTGACAAAAATAAAAACACGTGTTAAGTAACTGTCCAACTATAGTGGGTGTACTTTAATTCATCTGGTCTGTCCAGGTCACTGGAACAATAACGTTTCTAGAGTAGTAATGTTAAGAGAAGTGATATCATATCAAACGAGCAGTAGCCTGGTCAGGTTTTTCTGTTTTAGTTTTGGTTAAGGCCTTGGTTTAGGTCTTGGTTGTTGTTTTAATGTTTGTTTTGGTTCAGGTTTCGGTTTAGGCTTTGGCTTTGGTTATGGCTTTGGTTCAGGTCTTAGCTTTGATCTTGGTAAAAGGTTTGGTTTAGGTTTGATTTTGGCTTAGGTTTTGATGTTGGGTTTTGGTTTTGGTCGTGGTTTTTGGTTTCAGTTTAGGTTTTGTGTTTGGTTTTGATTTGGGTTTTATTTTATGTATTTATTTAATGAGTATTTGTTTTGTTTACATTAAGACAGACAAATCACCATTGTCAGCTGGATTCCCCCCCATATATATACCTGGCAATTATCAACGCAAATACAAACACAAAAGGGGGCTCCCTCCGTCCTATATCTTGTTTCAAATGTAAAACACCAACATTTCATTAGACGCAGGCTTAGTCGACCACGTTGCGTCGCTTACTTTCCTTTAGCAAAGATGCTGTGCGGCATACGTCTTTAAATATAAAAGGGTTAGACCTCAGATTTAGCTTAAACTCAAGAATTTCAAGATCTACCACCGTTGATATCCATTACCATGTAGGACCATAAATACGCTTACTTGTATTTATCCGCTTATAAGTGCTTAAACATGGACCGAAAATGTCAGATTATGAACAATGTCATTTAAATGTTGACGAGGTATTCGGACTACTTCGATATTTACAAAAAATGGGGAATTCCTCCGTTTCTAAACGTTACACTACATGTGTTGCACCAGACCATGCCCTGTTAGTGTGTCGGCTATTTTGAACTGAAAGTTATTTGGAAACTCAGAGTAAAAATTAACGGAGTGGTGGAAGAGGCCGACCTCAGTGTGAGCCAAGGTTGGTGGTCCATCTACGGATGAGGTGGATAAATGGAAGGACGCGTGGAGAGAGACATACAAAAGCACTCGGTGTCCCTGCCTCCAAATGTTGTTTATTCCTGTTGATTTTCTTTGATTGTTTTACAATTCCATAAGGACAAAATAATCATAAAATTATTTAATTATTGTGTGCTGAATATAAACTTAGTTACAATAAGGGTTTTTGCATTTACAAAAGTATAGTACATGTAAATGTTGATGAACACAAAATAAGAATAGGCCTAAATCTTTTTATATCCTGACATCTCAAAGAAGGTGAAATACTTGATGTTTAACATTCATCAGCTTACCCTGATATTATATGGGGTGGTGTTTTATAAAATAGGTTAAGACATGTGCTCCCAGTTGTATGAATATGAGGTCTCCAAGATTCAAAAACACGACAAATTCTCTGTATGTAATAATAAATCTTCAAAAGAATAACGTGCAAGCCATATACATAATGTTCGCAAGCCGACATACATATGTACTATTAGCAAACAGTGCGATAGAGGTTCATGTATTTGGCCTATATGTTCCATTTCTAAAATTTCTAAAATGGCAAGTTCATGCACCCTAACCCAACCAAGGTAGTCTACAGATAACAATGCATCAGCTGGTTATGTTAACATGATGAAACACCAGCGAGAAGCGGCATAAAACAGAATCATTTTGGGCATGCTCTTGGCGACGGCCAAGAGCATGCACTGCAAAGAGGCGGTTAGGACGTGCGTGCGTGAGTGAATTGGCTATTCTATTCCGCCACTCAAACTATCTTTCGCACAACGATCACCGATCGTCGCTCTCAAAGTTAGACTAAAAGCATAAATACGCTTTTACAGAACTTGAAATTCTTCTCGATAATGCTTATTACAAAATTACACTGTTGGAGTGTTCTAAAAAGTCGTTGGGGATTAATTAGTGGCTCGTAAGCATACGACCGCAGTACGCACGAGTTGGTGTTTTGAATAATCATTCCATCCCCAATTTATGTCTTAAATGGTGAGTGTGCTGCATATTCTGCACGTAGAGTCCCGACATTAAAAATAATTAAAAAAGATTCAGGGAACAATTTTTTAAATGGCTTCCTATGAATCATGTCTATTGAGAGGATGTACTCATATTCATTGGGTCTGCTAACGATCAGGTCTTACTATTGGTGGCGTTCTTGAAAGGTTTCTTGTCGTAAACTGCTCTGGCTCGAATTGTGTCCTTTTTGGCGAGATGCGAAGCAAATGCAAGCATATGTAATACGGATTTCCGTCGTCTGTCCGTCCATCTGTCCGGCTGTTCTCAAATGTTAAAGTTTTTCCTTGCAAATCCGTAGGTGTAAAAATGTGCAATTGAGTGCTTCTTTGCTTCCTCTTGGAATTCCATCAGTATTTAAATACTAAAAACTTATGAATTTAATGAAAGAAATACAAAAGTTGAATGTTTTGAGATGTATTGTGTACTTACCCTGCAGTATATACAGTACATGTGTACTGAGCACTCCTGTGATGAGGGAGAAGGGGTGGAGTTGGAGCTGGATAGGATAATTGGGAGGTGCGGGGCAGGAAATGTAAAGGGTGATGGAGAGGGGGCAGAGTAAGAGATGGATGAGATGATGGGGAGGGCGGAGTAAGAGATAGATAGGATGATGGAGGGGTGGAGTAGGATATGGATGGAAATATAAGGTGGATGTGGGATTGGAGATTGATGGGATTGGGGGTGGAGTCAAAGTAGACATGGTATATATGTAATGATGGGATATGGATGGTGGGGGTAGAATTGTAGAGGATAGGATGATGGGATTGGATACAAAGTACAAAAGTGTACTTAAGAGGAATTTTAATTATGCACCATCTATCAAACTCACATAATGCACTGCTTATAGGCTTCAAGTATAATCATCCAGGTCTGAGTCTGACTGTACTGGGCCCACATTCTATAGGCATTCCTCTCTCCTGTAAAGAACTGTGAAGCCTTTGTACCTGTATTTCCAATGTTGGTGGTCTTTGTTTATTTGCATGTACTTTTAAACTACAGGCGCCTTTCAACACACAGTCTGCACACAACACTACCTAGGGTTTTTTTCTCCCGGAATACAATGAATTTTATTGCTTAGGTCGATAAAATATCTTGTGTACGTCTGTATTGCAGTTGTATGTCAACCACTCTTGTAAAAGATTTTGATGAAGCTTGGTTAGTATAATTTTGTAACCTTATTTGTACAACTTGGATGTCTCTTCATTAATATAAGCTGTTATTACAGGAAAGAAATTTAAATTCATAACAAACAGTGAGCCATGGCAGCTTAGCCATTCTAGTTTTCAAGAAGCCGCCATTGTCACGTAAATAAGACGTTCAGTCGTAGATATACAGCCATTAGGCAGTGGGCCAGAAATCATAGCATGCAGGCTCGTTGAGAGTTTCGAGTGGCTACTTACTTTTTGCTCTAATTAATACCTTACATACTAGGAATCAATATTTTGTCTGTTGCCATCCGGATGTTTTGCTCTTTAATATGAAAAATAAGGATATCAAAATGCGAAAATGGTCGTGTTTTGTTCGGCTTTTTTTAATGTGTCGATAGAGGGCGCTGTCTGCAACATCGATCCTTTGAGCTTTTAAGCTCATGAAATACAACCCTTGCCCCAGGGGACGAGTGCCACTCGAAGTGAACATGGCGCCGTCCGTGAGCATGCAGGCGTTTGCTGTGTTTACGAAGAACCAGGAGAAATTTCACAATTTACAGAATTAGTTGGTGAAAATCATGTGGCATGTTGCAAGCAGTGGAAACAGTTTGATGGATAGGAGAGAGATGTTGCTCTGGAAAACGTATAAATTTCGAAAAACGAGCAATCTAATCGGGGTATTGCTTCTCGGCCTTCTATTCTAAACATGCCAAAGTCCCATGCCAAGCATATCGCATGCCAACTAGCGTTTGTCAGTCATGTCAGTTTTAAATTGTGTTTCTCCTTCGTGTCCTTGGGATCTTGATTTGTCTGTGTCAGTTTAAATACTAATCATAGTGCTGGTTCTGATTTGGAAGCAAATGCAATTTCAGCAAAATAGAAGTTATTTTTTTTGTAGGCGTAATACCGTCATATTTCCACAAAAAAGTCAAGTTGAAATTTTTTTGGGGGGACGGGATTCCACAGCATTTCCGTGCAAATAAAGTCGTGACACTTGATAGTCGTTTTTTAGAGCCAGATCCTTCCTCATTCTGGATCGTTTGAATCTACAACCTACTGTCTTTTTGTGCTCAGTGTTCTTCAGTTCGCATTCTGAGACAAATCCTATTTGAAAGGTAAAATATCTTTGTTCTCAAACTGTTTGGAATAGGCCAGATTTCTAGGTAGCACTTCGACATTTGACTTTGTTAAAATCACTGAATCCGAAAAACTGGCAACAGGGCGATAGGTCACCCACCATGTGTGATTCAACTACTTTTTCCTTTTCGACAGTCGTAAACACGTTTACAGCTAATCAAATGAATTAGATTTTCTGTTTTCAAAATTGGCCAGAAATTGAACACTTTTTTTTCTAAATTTGGATCGCGCGTTAGGTGCATGCAAATACAGGTACGTTACAAACTCAACCATACTGACCTAGCAGAAATGTGACGTAATGTTTTTATCAGTGCACGGCGTGGGGATGGTATTGTTAACATCTTGCTGTACAGTTGATACAGTTGAGTGACAATGTTCTACTTTTGAATTTTTGGGAATTAGTTATGAAATTTTTATTTATAAACTATTTCTCTCCACAAAATTCTCCAATAGAAAATCAGCTTATTGCCATGGCTGATAAATAGATTTTTGTGCGGTTACTTTTTATTCGTGAAGAACTTTTTTTGCAATCCAGAACTGGTTTAACTGAGCCAGAAGTATGAAAAGTGTCCTCGTCACTTTTGTCATTAATATTAGTTAAAATTAAAAGCTCAGATTCGGAAAAATATTTTTGCAGTATCCCTAACGCGCAAGGTGGACTACTGACCACATTTCACTGCAATTTGAGGATTATTGTAAATGCAATCTGACTGAATATTTTTTGCCATCTGAAATTAGGAAAAAAGTGTTTATTCACTTCACTTCACATTTCCTTACATAACTTATAAATACATTAATTGTTCATGGTTCATTTTTTTCTGTATGTAGCCTTTACTTCTTGGTGGTCAATCTTGAGTTTGTACAAGCTATGTAGCCGTGGTTACGTGGCTCTGGTCCATTTTGAGGTTTTTTTTTGTTTTTGTTTTTTTGTATTGCACATCCCAGGGTACGTTGGATAATTTACCCGTAAATCATCTTGATTTGTATGATACTGATTCAAATTGCAATTGAAATCAAATTATTTTTTAAATTGGTGCTTTTGAATCAGCAGATTTAATTTAGGGAGGAAAAAGTCAATTTCATTATTTACTTGATTTATAACTTTTCCATTTTTTGCACATTTTACAGCAACCTCCCTTCCCATAATTATAAACCACCTCAAGCCTCAAAAATCCTCTGGGTGGTTTTGGAGGATTTTGGAGGATTCAAGATGAATGATGATTTGAACGTTAGAGAATTTTGAAGGAATGAGATGAATGGTGATTGAAGCATGAAGGATTTTGGAGGATTGAAAATGAATAGTGTTTTAAAGGCTTGAGGATTTCAGAGGATTGAAGACGAATGCAGTTTTTAAAGTTGGGCAATTGGAGGATTTTGGAGGATTGAGGAGGTGCCCTAGCAAAAAAATTCTTGATGGGTTAGGGTTCATCAGTTCCTTGTTTCATAAAAGTATATACGCACTATGCATTACACACTGTCTAGGCTGGCTGGGTTCTTTCTCAATTTAAGTCCTCTGTTTCGACTTAAACTGGATTCAGTGCATGAATTCAAGTGAAAGATTTATAAATTTGATTTAATTGCCGGATTTAAAGTTTCTACTTCTGAGTTTAACATGTATAAAAGTATCAGTTTATATCCAACGTACTGTACATTTCATTTTGAACAAGTACACATGTATTTCAATAACATAAGAAGTGTTGGTTACTATGCAGCAAAACCAATAACAAAGTTTTCTTAGGCACGTGAATTTTAAGCAAGCGTTAGTTATTACTATATCGCAAAGGAGCTGGATCACAAACCATACGAGATTGGCTATTAACAAGTCTAACAAATTTACTTGCTTTGACATCAGATAAAATGCAATTATGCCAATTGGTCTTCTTATTTGGGCCTACATGTTTTTATAAAAATAAAAATTATTTAAATTACAAAAAACAGATTGTAATTGGTTTTTAATCAAAAATTGCCAACCCTGAAATAGCCAAAGCAGAATACGTCAACCATTTAATTGAAGTTGCCAAAGGCTCAGAGTCTGGCATGATATATCTGGGGTGTTTAGTATTCAGCGGGCTTATCAAAGTAGCTATGCTACGTGTTTAGTGTCATTAAGCGTCAACAGTCAACACACATACATAGCGTCAACATGAAAGCATTAAAACTTGAAAATGCCCTCTAAAGATTCAATAAAAGTGGTTAATCTTGTTTAAGAGACTCTAGCATTCCTCCATTGTATATGTATATGGGCCTCGATTTTTTTTCCATCTATATGAAAACAAGATGGTGGCCAGTTGGGCTGCACAAGCAAGCCCAAGTTTTCCTTCCCCCCCCCGCAAAAATTTATTTCATAGTAATATTTCTTTGTGAATTGTTATAAATGGTACCTGGTAAATGGTGCCAAATTTAAAAGCATTTAATGAACAAATGGGAAAACTATGCCCAAAATACTGTTTTGACCAAAAAAGAGCAAAAATGGGATTAGCGAGGTGGCAACAGGCAGATTTGAATTCAGCACCTTCATATTGACCTAGAGTACATGATTCCATGTTGCCACTCGAAAGTGAGAACAAAACTCCAGTTCCAGTGAAGCTGCAATTTCTGGCCCAGGGTCTACATGGACTGAGACTCCTGCTGCCAAAGTTAGGCCAACACAGCGGACAACAATGGGTACATACTCATTTTGAAGAGGATTTCACAGCAAGACTGCTTAAGTTACTTTTTATTTAACCCGGCAACAGCTTTACCATTCCAGAGTCATCTTGTCCAAAATCACCCCTCAAGGCCAACTCGTAGGGCATGATTACCTCCATCATGGGCTTGGGCCAATTGCAGTCGGTTTGATTTCATTCTCCGAAAGATTTGATGCGATCAATTTATCTTTTAATCTTTGATTCTGCTTTTGTACATTTTTGTCTTTTACGCCATTAATGACAGGTACGATAGTCTTATGCATAGACCAGTTTTGCTCGTTCAGTAAATGATATACCTGTGAAACAATAACAGGTCCACCACGGCCACCGGTATATTTAGCTGACTCTAGTGGCATATCCTGGTGTTCAGATAGGTGAAGTGGATACTTATGCCTAAAACCTGATATCATTTTGTTCAGTGATGAAATCATTATTGTGACACAATATACAGTCTTCACAGTTTTGACAATTTCAATTCCTTAGAAAATGGTAACATATTTCCCCTGCCCCCACGGCCCCGTGAGGCACGGGGCCGACGGACGAGCACGTCCGGGATGGTATGCCTAGAGCATCATTGAGCTCCAATAAATCGCCGCGTTGCCAACACTGCTACGTCTTCTCCTGGCAGAAGGAAGACCCCAGCAAGCAGAGGGTCACGGCCCCGACGAATAAACAGCTGACGACCACAGCAATGAACGTGGCCGTCATCAGCCAGAACGCCAAGTAGTACAGGGGTTCATAGCAGTAGTCATTGGAAGCTTCGTCATCTCCTGGCGGGTAGTTACCATAGACCAATACATTTCCTTCAAGACGAGATACATGGTCTGGATTACCAGAAGTCTTTTAATCTGGACAAGTTTTAACAAACCACTGGGAGTCATGTTACGATGAAACGGAAGTTGGAAGGGCGTGATTTTCCTTCAGGGTTGTTGGGCCTTCAAAAGAAGACTGCAGGAGGTATGGTCAATTGCAGAGCACGCAGCCTAGTACACAGCACAGCAGTAGGCAACAACGTAACAGCAGCCGGACTACACGCAATAGAGTAGCAGCTAGCTATATAGCAGCGGCAGCTAGCCATAGCAGCAGCATAGCACCCAAACCGGCAGCGGCAGAGGCCGTGCAGTTACAGCCACAAGGTCAGTTACCAGTGTTGGCGCTAGCACCACCGACAATGCATCGACATCAGCCACGCGACCTCAGATATCAGGAAGCATATCAGTGACCAACGAAGCCACTAGTAAACCTCGTTGCAGTCATTCCATGAGGAAGCGATACTTACCCACTATCATGAATAAAAGCAGGAGACACAGTCCGATTCGTTGGAGGACACTTACGACTCTGCAGAGTGAGGATTTCTTGTCCTCCGGATGCCCTACTCGGCGGTACCAAACGACCAAAGCAATTAGGGTTTCGGGGAAATAGCAGGCTCCTGTCACAATCAAAAAGATGGGGATCTTCGGCTCCAGGAGACAGTCGTCTTTGTAGATGGCGCCTGCATTACACAGGAAGATTTGCACACATTAGTTTAATTGACGGCGATATAATAAGGCGTATGTACTGATTACGTCACGATTTGTTTAAAAATTGGTCCAAAAGAAGTTAACTTTCCTGGAGAAAAAGGATACTCTCAAGAAGGGTAATAATCTGGCTCGGCATGAAAATCCAGCTAGCGACAGTGTAAATCTAATTATTAATGTGTTGTCACTAAATCAAATTAAAGTAAACCACATGAAATCCTACCTACTGCAACCATAGATACGGACACAACCATCAGGATTGCAATGAGAATAGGCCAGAGAACTGCAAAAAAGTCAGCAAAATAGAAACACGATTATTGCAAAGAATACCACAATCATAAACTATTCACACATTCGACCGCGGTTGTAGAGATGCTAGTCTACCAAACCAAATCAGTGAGCAGAAATTAAAAGATACCAAATGCCGAAAAGCATTTTACATCTTCCAAAATTAGACTCGCCCAAAAATTACAGAAACGGTGAGCCTGCACTCTTGAAAGGTTACAAAAGCTTTTGAATCGTCCTTTTTTACATTTTATTGCCAGGTTTACTATTTAGCAATAGAGAGATGACCAGGCCTTTCCTTGCAAAAGTTGATGTCGATGTAATTGTGGCGCCAACCTGAGAAAATTTGAAATTAAAAGTTGAAAGGCATAGATGTATGACATTTAAAGTGTGAACGTCTTGGCTTGTGTCTTCATCGGATGGCAATATGCTAGTTTGAAAAAGGGAGGAAAGATATGGTCTCGCTGGGTTTGGTTTGAAAAAGACCCTTCCTGGGTTTGGTTGGCATTTGAACGTTATAACGGAACGTGCACTGTAAATACAATAATCACCATTTAAAATAATTATTTATTATCAATGGCTTGGTGTTACGTTGGCATAATTACAGCGTTGGGAGTTATACAGATGCTAGTACAATGGCATTACCTCTGAACGAATACCATGATTATTTTTCCATTTGTAGCTCGGAATAAAACTGATTTGTAGGACACAGTCACGTGGAGTACTGACTGTGAACACCCAGCTGATAATTGGAAACAGTGTATAAATGCTTTCTTATACGGCTTTATCAGCCGTATAAATAAATGGCACAGTTTTCTATTCCTATTAGTCGAAACGCGTCACGTTCCCCTTGTATTAACTTTAAAATGCCCGCTGCGTAAATCACGTGCTGGCACATGGGTACGAGACAGTTAATCGGGTCTTACTGGTGAGGAATCTGTGTACACGCGACGCGTCCCGCGCACGCCAATTTGATTGAAGGAGTTTCTCTAGGACAACTTTCAAAAAGAATGTACTATGAAATGGACAGGGTGTTCGGGAAAATGAAAGTAACATTTTAGAACAAAATCGCTGGAAATCCATTATGGGTGCGTTCGATTAGCTTACACGTGTAAGTCGTACTTACACGAGAGCGTTCGTTTAGCCATCACGTGATCCTCGTGCCTGACCTGGTGTCAGCCACTACTACCTCGGCTGGCGAGCGGGTCTCTGGAGGCTGCCCGAGTGTAATGACGTCACGCATGGACTGTTCGTGCATGGACGTACATGATGGAACGTGGTGGGGACTTGACCTTTTTCCCAGAATGCCTTGGCGAGTACACTGCAGCGTTCGATTGCCCTCATTTCGAGGCTTCCCTTGCGTGTAACACTGGTGTGTTCAGGAAAGCTAATCGAACACACCCAATATTGTGTTGACTTCTTTTGAGTCTCTGAATAAAAAGGTATTTATGAATGGGAATAAATATATGCTTGGCCGGTCCTAACTACCTTTCTCGGAAGACCACGTCGATAATGCCCTAGGCGGAAGTTGCGTCTATTCTTCTGAGCCAGTCTTAAACGCACGTTTAAGACCAGCCAAGCACATCTTTATTCCCGTATTCATAAATACATCAGAGAGTTTCCCCATTCAACAACGTACAACTTGACCGTGTAGTAACATTTGATAATGCCCGCTGAGAAGTGATAATACCTGCTGCGTAAAGCACGCGCTGGCCAGCATCGGGATACGAGACAGTTAAATCAATTCGGATTGGTCAAGAGTCTGTGTGCACGCTGTTTACCTTCACGCACGCGCCAAGTCCATATAAAGATGATTCGTTTGGACAACGAGCACAAAGAATGTACTATAAAATGGACGGGGGTGTTCGGGAAAATGAAAGTAAAATTCTGGAAGAAAATCGTTGGAAATCCGTTATATTTATACTTATTTTGACTCTCTGACAAAAAATGAATAGGACTAACATGTACGCGACGCTGATAATCACGTTCATTCTTCCGAGGTGGACTTAAACGCACGTTTAAGACCGGCCAAGCAGATATTTATCCCGGTAGTATTATGGAGATGCCACGGAGGGTAACATTTACTCAGCAATTTTGTGGTGATTCAAACAATGAACAGAGAGAAGCCCTCAGTTTGTGCAGTATCAATTTCGGTGCAAACATTGCCAATGAAGCTTTGGAGTGTGTACTTCAAACTTGTTTTGTTAACATTTAGGAGGAGCTCAGAATATTCAGATTTTCAATTACCAGACGACAGCAGGATGTTCCGCAACTTGAGGAAGAACTGTGTTGGGGTGGAAGACGTTCTCGCAGCTTCTCTGATTGGCTGGACGAGGGAACAACTCGAGTGAACGCCATCTGCAAATGAAATTTAATAGGTAATCCTCTAAAGGGTGGGCTTGTTGGGAAATGATCAGTCTCTTTTCAGAGAGTACCGACCGGTGAAGCAGAAAGTGCAATGCAAACGAATGGAGTACACCGCTAGTGCCTTTTTCAACCATGTGCGCGTGACTGCATCCAGCAAGATATGTGACGGACGGGTACCCCCCACCACATTTCCAATCCCTATACACACCATAAAGTATTGTTACCTAACACATCCCCCAGATGTCTCAAAAGAATTCCTCAGATTTCGATCAAACAATGACCAACATATAAGGTGGGGGGTCTCCGTCCCATACCTGGCTTCATACAGTCGTGACGTACTGGATTTTCTTATCACGAGAATGCTACCACCCCAGGCGAGGGGTGGTGAGAATCGCCAACACCCGGTGGTGAGAATTTGTAGCTGTCTGTCAAGTGGGCACGTTGCAAACTACTGCATTTTAATCTCACTTTCTGATTACTGGTTGGTTTTACCATGCAGTGCGGATTGTCAGATCCAGTATCCCTCCGGTATTAGAAAGCAAAGCAATCTAAAGACCCATTTCACACAATATGTGACAATGTTTGAGGTGCATAGTCCCAATTCAGAGCGGAGCTAACTCTCGAGTGCCTATTATCTAAATTAGTTCAATAATACGGACGATAACGTCTGTCACTGTGCCGTTTAAATCTGTTTTGTGTCAGTTCTTGAAAAAAAATGTTACGCATGTAGTCCTGTCATTAGGTTTCAGTGTAGACAACTAAGCTAGTTCGAGAATCAGCCATGTTCAATTTCTGAATCCATGCTACACATCAGATCACCTCACCCTCGAAAGTATCAACCATAAACGGGTGGCGGTGTGCCATCAGACCTGGCATTCACGGAATGTGCGTTGACTGTCTTCTGGTTGTCCCCGGTCCTTGCAATAGAGTAATGCCAAAAATATTCGTGCCGGCGGTCCCAGTACATTCGTAGCAGGCAGCCAAAGTCGAACCAAAGTGACGTGTTGATCCATAACATAACAATAATCGACCTTCGAACAGAAAGACGCACGTGACTATTCTGTCACGATCGAATGACGTTAAGGTGGGATAGGCCTGCGTGATCTCGTGACACATTTCGTGACCCAGGTACAATAGGGTTATCAGGTGTTATCACGGTATTTACACTACATCTTTTCAAAGTTTGTTCAGAAAAAGCTAGTTTTCAAAACGTGTGGAAAGGCACACTTTACGCCGACTTTGCCTGTTTTGTCTTGATCATCCGCCATCTGTTCTCGTCTTGAACATAAATGTAAATGTTGTAAACCCATGGTGCGTTCGAGCGGCAACTCCTGGTAGCTGATACGATGCGTGCGCATTATCTGGAGTCAGTATACTTATACTCCCAGCACCCAGGGATTACACGAGTAGCTCGCTCGAACGTGGCAACCCCTGACTGGTAGTCTGGTTGATGATGGCCGCGGCGCGCTAGGGGTGTGTGTTCTTGTCCCGCCTTAACTTCCGAAGTGGCCAATTTCACCATGCCTGCGGCACGTTTGTCCGAGTAAGTGATGCTTGTTGGACCACATAAAAGGCATGCATGGTTAGGACGCATTGGTCGAGTTCAGGCGGCCAGTTCTTGACACGGGTTTCTTGTTCTCGCGCTCGAACGGCGGGAACACGACTCAAGAACATTGTTCTCGGAACAGGATCACACACCACCTCCTTGTCAGGGTTTTACAGAACCACACGGAAAAACTCGTGAGATTTTGATTTTTGAACTACTGCAAAAAGTAGAGAGATGGCTTCGAAAGCCACAGACAATGGGAAGTTTTGCCAAATTATTTTCCATAACACAGAAATGACGGTTCCTGTTTAAATAAAAAAGAATTCAGCCCATCCAAACATTAAGTCTCGAATAACGTACATAGCCGCCGCCTTGTTGCAAAGGTGGATTTATTTCCATACGTCGTATTAATTTCTTTAGTAGAAGCGTAAATTGAAGGCCATAAGGCGCGACACGCTAGCAGAATCAGTAGAGTTGTGTTATTGTATATATGCAACACAAATGGGACGAGTTGTATGGTACAGTACGAACGTGTTTGTTGGCTCTACGGTTTTACTGAAAATTATTGTCATTATTTCCTTTGTAAATGCAAGCAGATTTCGGGCCAAATTACAGAAGCAAGTGGCCCGGAAAGTCCCCAGGATTGCATCAGAGAGCATCTAGAATCCAAAATGTTCCAGGGCCCTTGATCAAATAAGGATAGATGAAAAACACTGGTCCCCCACACACTTTTTTATACCTTCTGACGAGCCTGCAAGAGCACATTGTGTGCAAAAGGCATTAGCGAGGGAACCAGTGCGTGAACTAACCCGTGTGCATTACGCTGAACTGCACTTTCTGATCCACAGTGACGTACTGGCACTTTGGTACTCTAGCTACCCGCCTTGAGCAGAAATTACGGTCCTTCATCAGTTAAAATGACCCAAGCTGTTCAGGAGTGGTCATTTTTGTTGGTAGCGATGCGACCATAACGCCTGCATTTCATAGTAGCTTGTTAACCAGCGAAGTGCAGTTCCCACCGCAAAGGCCGGAGGTTGAGGCTATAAGCCAGGCACTCCGTGCAAGACGTCACTACGCAAAACATCACGGCATGAAAACCCCTTTACTTAACACAGATATGGTGGACCGACTACGGACTACACTGTAAACATGGAGAAAGGAACAACACGCTCACGACTAGGTCACGCGTGCACGATGAGTTACAATTGGGTATTCGTACATGGGCAGTTGAACGGAGCCACACGCGTCGTGACGTCATGCACGGAGTGCCTAGCTTTTAGCCTCACCCAAAGGGCGGAGCCTGCGTTGCTAGAAAAATTGCGCCCCCTGTTAGTCCACCTTCGGGCTGTAGAGTACCGAAGTGAATACGCCACGTGCACAATGTGTAAAGGGCATTAGCGTGAAAACCAGCGCTTTAACCAATACCCGCGGTAGTCTATGCGTTTGCACAGCGATTCCTGGTTCAAAATGACGTCACGTTCGGAACTCTGTGGTAGTCAGTCCATATCAAGAGTGGGCGCTATTTCAAGACAAGCGCGCGAGGATGTAACAGCCGAGTTCTTGGGGTCTGACTTCCGCTTGTCACCCAGCGCCCGAGCCTGGGCGCTGATATAGGCTGATGGCTTTGCACTGTGATTGGCTACATTGTGCACGAGCTGTGGCAGCGAGGTTTATCGCTTTCTGTTAGCGAAGCGTTATTTAAATTAGTGTCGGCTGTATGATGAAAAACATGGTTTTGGTACAATCACAGTGTGGTAATTTATCTTCTCACTAATTATAAGTATCCACGATCACGTGTCTTTTGGCAATTTCAGAACATTGGTTATCTCGATCAATTTCTGATGACCGAATAAAGTGAAGTGAGAATGATTTCCAGCAATGAGGAAGTATAAGAAAAACAATCGAATTGATGACCGCCGCTTGTGTAACGCACTAAGCGAACTCGCGCGCCAGACAGAACTGTACCCACAATGCTCTGCATGTCGTTGGCTGTGACCCACTGTGACATGTTTCCTTTATCTAAATCTGTGCCAGGCTATCAGCCCTTCCCAGCGCCCTGTTCGAGCGCTGGGTGACGAGCGAAGGGGTGACTTTGCCCCTCCCCGGCTATGAAGCAGTATATGATGATAATAATACTATCACATTTTATAAGGCGTACAGTGAAGGGCTGGTCGGAGGAAAGGGTTAAGGGGACCATGCCACCCAGAAAAAAAAGGAACGAAAGATTATAAAATAAAAATGTTTGGCTGTACATGTATTTATTCCTTTCTCTCCCCAACGCATCAACGGTAAAAAGCCCCGACATGTAGCCTCACTTCAGGCGCGATTCTCTGCTCAACGAAAACTTTTGGGGTAGGAAGCCCCCCCCCCAAAAAAAAGAAGAATGCAAAAAAATTGGAAAATATTAGATTCTCAATTCTGCAGTTATTTGTTTTTAAATTAATAAAATAAATAGTCCATGATCATTTTGCAGGGTCATTTTGCGCAATGTACACTTAATTCTGCTATATTTTCTCCCAAGGTAAAAGAGCAGTAGCGAAAGCTGAAAGGTGACGTCACCCTTGCGAATCAAGCCTGCATCCCCAGCCCCCCCCCCCAGTAATAAATGAAATGGCTTTAAATTGCCGCGCCTGCTTCACTCCCAACAATGTTCATCAAAGGTTACATTAGGGTATTTTTAGCCCTCTCCAAACAAGTCTGTCTCCCCAACGCTAATTTGGTTCTGGATCTGCCCTTGCACACAGTGTCCAAGCGTATCGAAAATTCCGTCTCTTTTGAGGTTAAATGCCTGAATTATGCTTGTTGAGCGTGATTTATCTCTATTAGCGTCGGCCAAAAACATTGTTCATTTTACCGAGGTTCACGAACTGAGTTTCTGTCAATTAAAGCAAAAGTATTGTGGCGGTTTCTCCTCCGTAGTCAATGAACCCTTGGCTGGCAGGGCCACTAAGCCCCATCGCGGCGCCACTCGCGCGTGATTTGGCCAGGGCATGGATCTGTTTGGGTGGAAATATACCGCCCGTTACACCAAGGACAAGGGACACTGAACGAAATGGCACGCCCGGCAAAGGTATGTGTGATACCATCTACTTCTAGCTGGTTTATTAACTTCGACTCACTTCCTCAACGCGAGAGGTACCCTAACAAAGTAACAAACGACAAGGAGGGGGCATGAGGACCCGTCGCGCACGCCCTCGCCCTGCTTAAATAAAGGTACAGTACCGGTTCATGTACTCACATGAATTAGTTACAAACGTCCTGTCAGTACCAAATCTTTATGCACAATGCAAGATGAACTAACGGTTCAATCACAATCGTCTTAACTAAATCCCGGTACCAAAGTTGTGTCAGTCGATCCAATCTGAACTCCGATCGGCAGCTCGGCTTAGACTGACTAATTTTCCCAATTCTAACATTATTTAATTCCCTCCCCTGTTTTCCACAGTCATGAAACCACCATATTAGCACAAAAATGCAAAAAAATGGTCCACAATACTCATTTCAACCTTTCTTTCAATAACTAATTTTTATCATACTCCGGATATTGTCAAACTCTCCCCCCTTTTTCCATCATGCCAGTCTTATTAGTTCAGTTTCCCACTTTCCACAACATAATTTACTCACAGAAAACACGTTGTCAAATCCCCTGACAGTTACACCAATACCCCTTAATTAATACCCCTGACTTGACGGCCCCCGGTTTCCAAACTCCCGGACCTAACCCGAAACCTAACTAAGTGCATCACTGGTCAACCCCACTGCCATTCCTCTGGAGTTTAAAAGGTCACCAGACATTCGCGTTACAGTATTCTGGTTTTTTCACCATTGCTTTGTTTGTACGTTTTCCTTTATTTTATGTTGTTCTCCTTTGTTTTAAAACTTCTTTGTTTTTTATGACTGGCGAGTTCATGACACTTGAGGGCGCTATTGCTGCCACTGTGCAGAGCGGCCAACCGCGGCCGCTTTACCGGTCGACCGAAGAGAGAACGTATTATCATATATGTCTGTAGTGCCGGTTTCTTTTTACTAAAAGTACCAATAAAACGTCATAGCTGAGGGGACGGAGTTCAGCCTCACAGGATTTTACGTTTGCTTATCAATTTCTTTACTGAGACTGAGCTATGTGCGTCATTTTGTGAGTTGGCTGCTGGTCGATATGGTAGACGGAAGACCGGCCCTTTACCATTAATTGCGACTCGGATCGGGCAGTTCAATCAAAAGGACAGATCGAGTTGGGGAGGGGCCAGAGGGACAACTGGAGCCACACCTCCCCCCCCCCCGCCAAAAAGCCAAATGCAGTAAAAAAAAAAAAGAGAGAGAGAGAAAGGTGTCATTTCTTTTTTGCTTCCGAACGCGTTGAATAGCCCCCCGAATGTTGCCTCATCCCCAGAATGCCGGGCCATAAACATACATCATAGTAAAAAAAAAAACTTCCAAATTTTTGCCTCCCCCGGCACCCCGCCAAAAATATGTTTCGCCACCAAATTTTATTTGTGGGTCTGCCCTTTCATTCATTGCCGCAAAGTTGGGTACATTTTTGTGTTTCTGAGTTTAGTTTCAGTTTATTTTATTTCGAGGTTGTGCTGAACATATGTTTCAAAAAGAATTGTGAAGTTCAGGATTTCATCCGCATTACTGTGACATGATACTACAGTCACGCCCAACATAAAATCAAGAGAGGATTTTTTTTTATTTCTTTGGTGTGATCCAGCAAATAGAGCTACATTTCCAAACAAGATGGTAAAAATTCATGGCGAAAGGAAAACGTCAGCGATGCAACCCCTCTAACAAAATGATCCGCCCGTCGATCCCGTACGCTGGCCGATCGTTTATGGCCGCGGAATCGGCTCTCAAGGCTTGTAGCTAGGCCTCTAAACATTAAAACCTATTAATCTTCCTTACCCTGTTAAACGTGATGATATGAAAGACCCGGCGGGGCCAACATTTTGTGTCCGGCAGGATGCCTGACGTACTAGTATTCAGGCCTACCTTTCAGTCATGTTTTCGTTCTGGCATGGCGATCGAGTTTTAAACCCCCGGCCCATGTCACTGTGTGTCCACAGATAAATTGTATTATTTAGGCTTTCGGATTTTGCCTACATTTTCAGCTAAACAATGATAAAAACAACTGTTGAGGTTTTCATGCACAAAGAATGTCACCGTCAAATTCTTTCGAGGGTAATTAATTGGGCCTGCATATTTCCCCACGCATCCAGCAATTAAGCCGCCTGGTTGAGCAAGACTTGCTTGATGAGAACTGGCTTTGTCGTTAACTAGCAAGGTCAGCTACGAGCATAATGATAATGTCCGATATTCGATGAAAGAATTAGGCCTACCGATAGGGTATAGGGTCGGCAGGATATCGGGCAGCGCAGCCACTGCGTTCAATGCCACGTTGCTGATGCTCAGTGTCACGTGGATCGGACAAAATTTCCCCTGAGTGGCCGGGGTTTTCCCACTGTTCATTGCCACGACCGCTGCGGAAATTATTTTACAATGTATGCCACGTTTCAACTGGATTAAAATTTCTAGACAACCCTCAAGTCACTGTAATTATTTATGTCTAAGGTCTGGTGTTTTTAGCAGAATGCACATTTGCTTCAGTTTGTCAAAACTATCAAAACATTTTGCCGTACGGTCGCCTTCATTTCGATAGGAACGGACTGGTGCCCTGCCTGTCCCAATATCCAACAATATGCCAACATCACTAGGAACTGCACACGATTACGAGAAAATTTGGTCGCCACACTCGCCGCACGAGGCCAGCGTTTCAAACCGGTCGCCACTGCTCACCGTACGTGCGAAGCTTTTTGTTTCCTTTCATTTGTTCAATTTTAGGCCTAGGCAGTTAAACCAAAACACATGCTGGCACCCATCATAAATTCTTAGTGGGGATACGTTATCAAGAATCCGTCTGCCGTTGGGGGCTAGCGCTAACTTACGCCGGGTGCGCTCCGTCCGCGTCCGCTGCGGTTTAACTTGGTTTGTTTTGTGGATTTTCTCATCCGTCGGCTCTAATTACAGAGTGGAACAAGAGTTCCTTATTTGATCAAAGGTCTAGACTTATTCGTCGGTTGCAGTAAAATTGTGTTTAATTTCAACTCCAAATGTATACTTTTTAATGGTGCGGTGAATCAGCGCACGTAGGATGAGGAAGCGTGACCTTCGACCCACGACCTTTGTGCCGACTTTATGCATCGCTAGACATTCTCTTTCCCGGGCCCGCCATAATTTTGTGCGTGTGATAAACGTACGTTTCGTGCACTTGGACAAATTTCAACATGGCGCGCTTGCGTTTTCCAGGACGACCTGGCCAAAGATACGGTCGATCTCTTATTCGTTTCATGCCCCATGAAGCTCAAAATTCGCAGATTCTTTTTTTCAATCTCACAGCCAACATCCAGAGAAATTTGAAGTGGTTTTACGACACGTTCGGCGATTCAGACGAGGTAGGAAACATTTGGTTGTGATCTGTTTTGTTAACATCTGACAATTATTAGTCACTGTTTTGCCACGATCACCATCATGACGGGAATCATGATATTTTTGTGTTGTCACGGCAAATCCATTCGTGATCCATGGAGAAGTTTGAAAGAAGATGTCCTACAAACTGAAACAGGATAGACATTCATTTGTGGCGAGAACGGCTAGGCCCTCTGCCACTGCATGCCGGGCACGCCAGGCCAGGTGGCCTGTGCATGCTGTGCGTGGGCATTTTGGTGTATAATAATTTTGTTGACACTAAATAAAATGCAAGAACAAGGCAAGTTTCATCATTCCCGCCATTGCAATTTTGCATCATCCTGATTATTATTTGTGGGCATACATGTAATTCACGAGTACAGCAGTTGGCACATACATTGTACATGACAACATGTACATGTATGCGTAAGACTGTCAGCCTGGTCAGTGTCATAGCTAGCTAAGCTAACTTCACTCAAATTTTTAATCATGTTATTTGTGCCATTTTCAACTTGCTAACTTGTGATCAGTTAAGTTAGAACATACATTTGTTAACCTTTGATGAGATTCCAAATGGCGACTGTGCTGCCCTCTTTAATGTATTTTGTACTTCCTGTTTTTTTCATCATCATGCTACAGGTACATGTAGTTTAGGCCTGTTTTGTAACATCTATTTTTGTGTGGGCCTAGTGGGGTCTTGCTGAATTGTAAACAGCCACGACAGCTGCAAAACTGCCGACTTTTCACTACGGGTTTCTTTGTTTGGTTGGGGGACGTTAACATGTTGAATGCCCCGCAAAATTTCGAAGGGGCGTTCCCATTTGCCAAGCGTGAAGGTATGCATATTTAACAGGTACTTTAAGGTGTCTGTTTGAACATGGACATTTTACGCACGTGCATGTATGTCCCCCACACTGCGAGCAGCTCTTTGTTGTGTTCTTCAGTGATGCAGGGGATGAAATTAACTTCTATCTCTTGGTGGCCTGCAGGGCCAGCGGGAAGTGCACCGTACTAGCCCTCGTGAAAATTTGTTGGCCCCGGTTGAGTGCCTGTACATACTGAAATTGATCAGACCCACTATGCATGCCCATTTGCATCGGTCAAACTTCTCTCTACCAAAACAGCTGATTGGCCAGCCTGGCTGGATTTAAATATGGTTTTTGAGGTAAAAAACTACTAGTACATGTAGTTCTGCTTCTGGTTTGCGACCGGTCCTAAAGTCTTGGCACGACTGTAAAATTTGTGTCGGTAAGTTAGAAAAACACATTTGAACATTTTTTTAAAAATAAAACAAGAAAACTATTCACATTTGACATCTAAAACTTGTTTTTGGCTTGCTTACATGTACATTCGTCATTGGAAATAAGGTTCCGTTATTTTCACAAGTTCCCTTCACATTTTGCTCTCTCGGTGGTGAAAACATGCACACGGTAATGTTCGATGCATACATGTAGAAGCAAGGCTTCACTGGTTCCCACTTGCCGCGCCACTGCCAAAGAAGGCGTAATGGTAACACAGCAACCAGTCCATGCTTCCCGCTCAAAATAGTGTTGTACAATTCACCATACACACCAACAACTCAACAGCTGCACATTGGAAAGAAAATAGTGTAGAAGATTTCTACAAATTAATTCCCAGAACTTGATCTGTTGTCTATATATTATGTGTATTTTTTTTTGTTCACAAATTTAATTTAAGGTTATATTGCATGTACTTGATGATCAGACTCGATGTGACACGACGTGTAAAGGTTTCATTGGTGTCCGTGGGAGATACGTGTACATGTAATGTTAAACTGGCATTGTTAGAAAATGATACTAGCCAACCTACCAGGGCAGGCACCTGCTGCACGTGTATGAGCTGCATGCACGACTTTGCAGTGAACAGAATGTCACGCCACTGCATGTGCGTGTGGCACACGAACCCGGCTGCGCATGGACTGTGGAATGAACTCAAAAGTGCTGCGCCGGTGATTTGAAACACAAGTCATAAAATGTCGTGAGCGTTTTGAAAATGTGCAATGTCCCTCAAATGACCACTGTCCCACCAGACCATCATTTGGGGAGAATGCAGTGGTCCAATGAGTTTTTTGGTGCCCCAGACCAGCTGATCACGGTTAATTTTGACCCCTGCAATAACACTTTGTTTCCTACAAGCATGCTTGTTTTTTTTAACAACTTTTGAAAAAATTCACATGGAGCTCTCCAAGTATTGGCTGACAGCAAGTAGGCCTACATGGAAAGTGTCCCATACATTTATAGACGAACATAACAGCTTTTTCATCCTCAATAGGTTTGGGCGCAGTATGACACATGTATGTTGTGTCCACATATGTAGGCCTGAGTCAATTTGAATAATTCACTATTCAGGGCTTCATTTTAATAAATACGAGGAGAGCTAAAAATCGCTCTCCTTAATTCACTTTGTTGATTTAAGGAGAGCGATTAAAAATTGGAGCGCAGAGGAGCGCGATCGCACTCCTTTAAAATGAAGCCCTGCATTGTGGAATATTCAACCTTCAATTTGATGGAATATTCTGTCGCACCGACTGGTAGATTGTTGATGAACAATCCGTATACAAAATCAGTTGCAATCACACACTCAATTGTACATTATGATCAATATAATAGCTTTTTACACACTGTACATCAAGGAGTATCTCCAGCCATGATTTAGCAAAATTGAAGAGATGAACAAGACTTTGTGCCCTGTTGAAAATTTCTATTCCTTTTAAATTGTTGAATGAATAATTTACTTTTTAAATTGTAAGTTTTCTGACACTTTTCATTTGATTCTGCTCGAAACAAGCCTTTTGTACAGTTTTTCTCATTTACTCCAGTAAAGCAAAAGAATATTTTCCCTTTTCATGTATTTTGCATTTGAATATTCAGATTCGAAAAATAACATTCAACAATCGATCAAATATTCGGCACAGCCCTACACATATGGAATTTGTTCTTTCCCTTGGGCCAACTTTGACAGTGCTTATTCCGCATTGGCATTTTTGACCATTTCCCCAAGGAATCCATTTTTCATCTTGTGCCCGAAATCTCTTATCAATTGTGAATTGTTAGAGTAACAATTTATCTGGAATTTCATATAAACCATCTCTCATCGATGCCCTCAAGTGTTGACAAAAAATAAATTCAGAGTTTGAAAACTATACTTTCAGTATAAAATTTGCTGACTTGTGAAAAAGTGTCTTCGCTACATGTACATGTATGCCATCAGTTGACATATAGTAGCAATGAAAGGTGTCAATCCTTCCACCGTTAGACTTTTTCTATTACTGTAACTCATGGTGAAGTGATTTGAAGGTGGTTTGCAAAGGGGGCGGTTGTAGATTGATAGAAGTCTTCAGCTCTCTGACTAAAAGGGCAGGTCAGCATGGAGTACTTTTAGTCTCATGTTAGATTTTCAGTTGAACTGTTCGGGTGAAGAATAGATTAGACCAGTTCAAGTGATTTTACAGCTTAAATATTAACACCACTCAAACTGTACATTTTTGGCTCCAAAGTTCTGTCAACTGATATAGAACAGACAAATGAATCACCGACTTGGAGAGAATTTGGCACAGTGGTTCCAGTTTTAAGATGGACTTGATTCTGTGGTATTGTGATTAAACTTGAGATTTTGTCAAACATTTTCAATTACTGTCAAGAGCAGACTTCTTCATGCACTTTCTGCTCTTAACCCCTCATGTGACCTGCTCTTGACACGTGACCTGTTCTTGACACAACATATGACCTGTTCTTGACACGTGACCTGTTCTTGACACAACATATGACCTGTTCTTGACATGTGACCTGTTCTTGACACAACATGTGACCTGTTCTTGACACATCATGTGACATTTTAATCAAATTATTATTTGCATCAAATTTTCCAGTAAATGTAAAGTATCTCCAATGCTGCTGCAAATGTTGAGAACATTGAAGACACAGTTTGCCAACTTGCCTTTGACAGGAGGAAGACTTTGATGGTTTCACCTTGGACGATGGCGAGCTTCAAGCGTACCAGCTTCTGCAGGAGGAGGATGTCCTGGAACGACAGAGCCGGGAACATGATCAAAGGACAGCTAGACAGTCCTTCTTGCAGTCTCAGCGAGTGCAGGGTTCGGGCCGGAACATCCGCAATGTCATCCGCCGATCCTACGCCGCCATGCTCCGCGGTGAGGAGGACTTATCCCCCAAGTTGTACAGGCTGAAGAGACCGGAAGAGTTGGTGGGCTATGGGATCAAGCATGTCCACCCAAAGGGGCAACTTCTCGAGGGGACGTCCGCAACGTCGTCCGAATCGACTTCCCCATCAAAGGTCACGAGCATCAAGATCAAACTGTTGCCGGACGGGAAACAAGCCAAGATTGTGCGCCGCCGCCGGCCTCCGACGGCCTTGAATCTGGACTTCATTCGGCCCTACAAGGGCAGTGGGCTGAAGGGCAAGCCTCTGACCAAGCAGGAGAAGAGGGCCAAGGCGATGCAGGAGAAGTTCCTGCGGGACGCAAAGGCCCGGGAGAGGGCGCGCAAGCGGAAGGAGCGCGAGAAGCTGCAGAGACAGGAGAAGGCCCGGCGGGAGAGGCTGAAGCGGGAGAAGGCCAAGGAGAAGAGGCGGCAGAAGAGGATGCGGGAGAAGGAGAAGAAAGAGAGACTGCAAGAGAAGAAGAGAGCCCGGGCTCTCGCCAAAAAGGAGAAGCAGCTGGCAAAGAGGAACAGGGGCCCGACCTCTCAACAGAAGCCGAATATCACCTCTGTCAAGGTGGAACCTTCGGAGCTGCCAGCAAAGACAAAGATATCGGTGCCGGCAAAGCGAGTCCGCGCCAAGAAGACTGAGATCGTGGCAGCGCGACAGATCCTGGCCCGTGCCAAGGGGCAGCAGAAGAAGGTAGCCCTGGAAGCAAATTTGACCCCTGCCAGTAAGAGGACAATCAAGAAGTCACGCATGCTAGCTGACATGGTCGCCAACGTCAATTTTCTGCAGCGGACAGGCAGCCCGTCTCCGCCCGGCACACCGCTCCTCTCACCTAAGATACCTGCAACAGGGAAAGCTTCACCAAAAACTGTTGTTGTAGAGAGGAAAGATAAAAAGAACACAAGTACCAGTGTCAAACACAAAAAAGTCAGGCATGCAATGCCAGTAAAGCCCAGGCTTATAAAGGAAGAAAAGTTCAAGGAACAAGTTGCAAGCTCACTTTCCCCTCAGCTTTCAGATCTGGACAGTGACAGTGTAATGTCGAGTCCGCCGTCAGCAACAAAAATTGCAGGTTCGTTTATTCTTCCATCCATCAGTGCACGCTCCTCTCGCATTATCAAGCCATGTAAGCGGTACGTCGAAAACGATGATGCACCAGCCGCCAAGATGACTTCCCTCCCGTCCAAGCCATCGTCGGCAAGCTCGCCAAAAGCTTTATCCTTGCCTGAGGAAGAACCGGAGGAGAACTCATCATTTGCAGACTTGTCCAGCGATGAAGACCGTGACTACCGGCCCGGCAGCGGCGTCCCGAAACCATTTTGTTACAAGCACAAGCGAAGTCGGAAGAAGTTGGGCTTGACCTCAAAACAAACCCTGAAACAGACGGTGGTTGAGAGAAGTAAACAGAACGCCCAGAACAAACTGTTGCAGAGGTACAAGAGAGCCATCCTGGGTCCGAAAGGCCAAGAACAGACTGTCAGTCGAAGCGTGGAAGCCCTTGTGACGACTTCATGTATGGCCCCAAAACTCAGTTTAAAGAAATCCTCAAAGAGGGAAAATGCCACGCCTGGCAAGAGAAATTCTCAGGGGTCCCGTAAAAAACCCGACGCAGAGGCCGAGAAGAAACCGCTGCTGGCCACGCCCATTCTGCAAGAGGTCAAGGGGAGCCACCGTGCCCACCTGCAGAAGCTGGCAAAGGACAAGAAGCCGAGCCCACTCTCGTCGGAGGTGAAGACGCCGCAGCACTCCCGACCGGCCATGGGAGGGGACAGGGGCACTCACCTGGATGCTGGTAAGCCTCTTGTAGCAGCGAATGGATCACATGCATTTGCTCAGTGCATACCCAGTTGAGGGCGCTGGGCGAATCTGTGTTTGACTCTATGGTGTACATGTATACTCACACGGAATATTCCTTTCACACGAGCACACTGGTGCTAAGCATGAACACACATAAGAGATTGTAGCAGATCTTGTTTGAATTTGTAAGCTGGACGGAAAATTTAGTGGAAGGGTGAGGACAGAGAGAGTGTGATGACTGTTTTCAGGCAGGTGGGCAGGCAGGCAGGCAGGCAGGCAAAATACATTCACCCTGGCCCATGTTTTTTTACTTTGAAATGGTTGTGTGTAAGAGTGGGTGAGTTCAATCAGGGCTTGAAGGTTTACGCCCGAATGCACATGGTACAACCATGCATTGCCCACCTATTATGCCCACTCGATTATCACAGAGTAAAAAATGTAACACCTGTTTCAGACAGGTGTTCTGGAGTCACGCCTAACAAATAGGATGAAGAGAGACTCGGGTTAACCCAATTAAATGTTGGTTTCAGACACACAATCCTGATATGTACATTTGCACTGAGTTCAGCCCATGAAAAGAGCAACGTCGCTCCAAAACTAAGTCGCTCTGATGTTGTTCAGAGTGCCTCCAAGTGTCACTCTTTCGCCTGCAAGTAGCACGCCTGGTCGCTGTTAATTGTTTCAGACATCAAACCTTTGCCGCACTTACTTGAAAATTTGCTTTTAATTTGGTTCGGTGTGACTGTGGAATGCCTGTCTGAAACAGGGGGAACTCTCTTCCACGTATAAAGGAACGTTTCATAATTACAGAAGGCGGTATTTACTGCAGTACCGCTGTATTTTTGCGGTACCAGCATTAAGCCCTTTCGGGTAACTAGTGCGGTGCCGCTAAAAAAACAGCGGTACCGCAGTAAATACCACCTTCAACAATTATGAAACGCTCCCTAATACATTTTTATGAAAAGCATTGCAAAGGGGACAGGGGAGGGGGACAAATGTGCTGAGCTTCCCGCGTTCCTGTTTCTATTAATAACGTGACATTTGTTAATCAAGTCCCAGTAAAATGGAATTGATCTGCAAAAATAAGTAATTCTTGGTTCCACAAAAGCAGACAACTGCTGAGAATCAGTCTTTGCAATGTAAACTGTCGACTAGTTTAACCGGTAGTCTGTGAATACGGTTCTCGCACGGCAGCAAGTTACAGTCGGTGTTTCTTTTCCCCAAAGTATCCAAGCAAATGGTGGAGGCCATGGAGGCTGACATGTCACCAGAGCAGACAGCAGACAAGCCAGCCAAGGTAGGTGAACAACGTCACAACCGGGATTTAATCAGTTTAACAGGTGAACATGTAAACACGATCTAACAGTCTGGGTACCCAGGGATGGGCTGACAGGTCAAACTCCTCCATAAATGCCAAGACAGTTCTGCCATTCTACCTGTTGAGGGCCTTCTACGCCACCTGACGTAGCACACGCTAACTCCCACAAAGGAGATTGGAATATGAATAGTCAAATTTCATTAGTCAGAATTTGTTGGAACTGGTCAAATTGCCTTGTTAACCCTAACCCTCCTCAATCCTCCAAAATCCCTTGGGAGGTTTTGAAGGATTTTGGAGGATTGATGGTGAATGAAAAGTGTATAGCTTATTGCGAAGGATACCTTGCATGAAGGTCGTGGGTTAGACCTTGTGTTCTTCTTGCTTAGTCATGCATAAATTCCGCCCGATATTTCTATTGAATCAACCGCACTGCTCAAGAATGCCATTCGCACCGCCTCAACATAATGACTGGAATTGCCGGAGAATTTTGAAGGATTGAGGCATTAGGCACACTTCCAAGTAACATTTTCAAGAACTTGAGGATTGAGGGAGAATGCAATTTTTTCACCCCCCAAATTGGAAGATTCTGGAGGATTGAGGAGGGTCCCAAGCCAAATGGACCTAGGGGGGTTAGGGTTACAGGTAAAACAGGAGCCTTGTAATATCAGGAATGAAAACAATGAAAAACAAAAGGATCAGGACCTAAACATTTCCTTGTTATAAGCAGAATCTTGTATACACAGTGCTCTTATCAATGAGTTTCCACTGAACCTGTGAAAGGCACATACCATCACACAGCAAGAGGGTTGTTTTGAAAAGTGAAGTAAAGAAATTGTTTGAAACATATTTGAAGTCTGTAAGTTTTAAACCTTCTTTTGACCCTCTGACTTCAAAGGTATCGATGAATTGTAATGAAAATTGTGGCCAGTCATAAACTAATGTTTACGGGCTCTAGAGAATGGATACAACTAAATGCTCAAGCCGTATCAGCGTCCGTTTTTTTGTTGAGCTGGTCTTTTAAACGAATGTTTCGAGGATTCTGATTTTTGCTTTTCTAGATGCCCGGAATGGATGCCCAAGTCGCCCCTGCAGTCATCACCTCCCATGGGCCAAGAATCAAACACGTGTGCAGGCGGGCCTCAGTAGCCTTGGGGTTAGAGGTCGCTACCTTTCCCGATCCTGCCTCTGCTGCCGAGCGCACACTCAGCGCTCTACCCCAGGAGGATAGGGGCCAAGTGGAAGAGCCGATCAAGATTGGTACGTAGGAATAAGAAAATAAGAGTGTATGGACACTTCAAGGGTTTTTGTTCCTGTCGTTGGCCATTCATCCAATCAGTGCCCAGCAGGTGGAGACAGGGGAAGGGAAAGAATCCACCCTTCCCTCCCCTAGGATCTTGGCTGTCTATTGCCAACTTGGCATGCCTGTATACACTCACCTTCGGCACATCTGTCTAGTTGTAATTCAGTCCTTTGGATTTCAGTAAGCCTTTTCGAATACACCGAGTTATTTGATTGCACATGAACATAATTTGGATTTCCCAGACTACAGACTCTGTTGCTCTACCTGGGAATTCAATGCAAGCTTTTGCTGGTGACCATCATCTCTGGAATGGACTGGTTCCTTTGTGCCCTTCTAATCCATTAAAAGCAGTGTGTTGGTGCAGGCGTCTCTTATGTAACTAAGCAAAAGCTTGCCCCGTATCACCAGGTATAGCAACAGTGTCGGTATGGGGGGAAGTGAATTTAAAGAACTGAGTGTACCAGTTTTTATTCAAATTTATCTCGTAAATTACTTATCGAATCTAATCTAGGATTGGGAGGCCGCTTGCAATTCCTAATACCTTGCTATTGATGAAAAGACTTAAAATTCTCTGACATTTTGATGTCGTCCTAAAGAGACACAGCTCGAGGGGGACGAAGCAGAGTCCCCCAGCAAGTACAGCCGTAAGAACCGGGGTGCCAACTACAAGAAGATACGACAGGAGCTCCTGGGCCTGGAGGACGACCAGCCGCAGCAGCAGGGGAGAAAGAAGGGGGCGTCCGGAGGGAACCTGCCCTGGAGACACGACCAGAAGTTCCGGGTGGCCCCTTTCAAGGGGCTGAAGGTGGGCTCTGCCAAGAGGCGACGGTGCGGCAAGTGCGGGCCCTGCCAGCGTAAGGACGACTGCGGAGAGTGCGAATTCTGCCTGTAAGTTGTGAAGAAGGGATTGGGGGTTGGTGCAACCAGGTTTGGAGGGGGAGGAGCAGGGTGTTTGCCTCCCTCCTCTTATCCAAATGTTGGCTTTTTGTTTTTTAAGGAATTAAAAAGTGCCAGCATTTTCGTTTGTGGAGTAAAAAGTGAAAACAAAAATTTTAGGGAAAGTAAGCTCAATTTGACCTCTTTCGCCCGGTCCCAAGACCTGGATGCACACCACTAGTGCCTTAGAAGGCAATGGTATGGACACACAGTATCGGTGGTCCTGTGTGGCTGACTAGTGTGAGCCATTTTGGCCATTTTCGTGAGACGGACATTTTGGATTATCTTCCCTGATTCCACTTTGTTTATTGAACACTCTGAAAGAGGAAAAAGGCCCGTCTTACTACAATTACAGGAATACCCTCAGTGTTGACAGTAAAGATTTCACGATTTGCTATCAGTGTTTTGGAATTTACCAAAATGGTGGTGAGCTATAACTTGCCCCAGCTTTGTCGCCTTTTTCCCACAAAAAGTCTGTAAAGGCATTGCCTTCCTTTCCATTCAAAATGGCAGACTCTTGAATCAGGTCAGCAGATGGAATTATGCTATACAGTTGAAGGCTCATGTACACCCAGAGCTGAGAATAGACACAAGTTATTTTCACCAGAATGTGCACAGAACCAGTGTTTTGATGCTAGAGGAGTGTGCTGGTGTGCAAATGGGCAGTGGTGGTTGTACTGTAGTGTACATCGGTAAAGGTTACTCATAGTTTTTTTAATTAAACGACAGTGGCTGTGGATTTAAGCGTTGAATGCATATTCACAGTTTTTTCCACATCCCGAATTCCACAAATTGTCCGTACTTTGTGTTTTGGCACATTTTTTAAAGTATGTTTGAGCATTGACTCATCGACTGTTGACATTGTATTGGACTCGTTACTGTTTATTTCCAGTCTCTGAAATATTCAGTCTACTTTTTTCAATGATTAGTGTGTTGTTGTACCAGCTTCAATTTTTTGTCTTATGCTCAGAGACAAGACAAAGTTTGGAGGCCCCAACACCAAGCGGCAGGCCTGTATGTAAGTAGAAAATTGATCATAGTATTGCCCGTACATCAGTGGGAATCTGAACTCCATTTTCTGGTGAACTTTCTAAAGATTCAAAGTACTGTTAATGAACTGTTACCCTAGATTTCGGGGTGTGTAAATTATTGTATTTCTGAAGGTGCAACTTTTTGGGCATATGTGTATCTTATGGCAGACAGGTGTCAGACTTGAGTTGATGCTGACCGTTGACCAGCTGCAGCAATGCAGATATTAAGCTAATGGTTCCGTGTCACCATGAAGATGCACAGGCACTGTCATTCGTGGAACAGTCCCAGCGATAAGACATTTCCAATCCCTTTATTGTGAGTTCTCATGGCAGACATAAACATGGACGTACGTGTTGATAGTCGGCAAAGTTCAGTCTTCAACCTGACTGTCTGCTCCCAGTTTTGTTGAACAGCCTCCATCTTTTTCTATGACTGTACCTTGATTTCTGGCATTCTGTTGGTAATCGGTACGACCATACGGAAACTGGGTTTCACTTGGACCTTTGTCCTACATTGTTTTTCTCTCTGTGCATCAAACTTTGATTCTGTTTGGTTTCTTTTCGATGTCTTGAAAGAAATGGGTTCATTTATTTTCTCCTTTCAGACACCGGAAATGCTGGAACCCTCAGTACAAAAGTACAGTGCTACAAGAAGGTATGCCTGATCGTTCATAGAAATCCAAACACTCAACTAGAGAGAATCTGATTAACTATGGGTGGAATCTCTCGGGAGGTTTAAACTTCAAAGAGAATGGGTGCGATGTCCAGGGAGCGGGTACTTGATTTGTCCTGGAGTAGAGTCACTGCGTTTATTGCCTGGCAACACATACTCTAGATTTGGCAAAAACTGAGCCATATAGTACCAAACATGGCTGTGTTCATTAACCCTAACCCCCTAGGCCTTTTTACTAGGAACCATCCTGAATCCTCCAAAATCCTACAAAATTTCTTGGAAATTTCATTTGGAGATGTGCCTAACCGCCCGAACCCTTCAAAATACTCCGGCAATTCCTGTCATGATGTTGAGGCAGTGCGAATGGCACTCTTGAACTCTGCAGTTGATTCAAAAGAAATATTGGGCTGATAAAACGTGTGCTTGACCAAGCACAAACAACATAAGGTCTAATCCACGACCTTCACCTATGGCATCCTTCGAAATCAGTCATGCACTTTTGCCATACACCTTTAATCCTCCAAATTCCTCCACTTTGCAGAAAAGGATTTTGGAGTATTTGGGAGGGGGTAGGGATAAACACGGTAAACTGCTTACTCTAAGTGTATTAGAACTGACAGGTGCACTGCATTCTACCACCACGAATATACTTGTGCACAAAAGGGATTTGTACTGTGAACTAGAGGCGCCAACACTGCTGGCAATGTGACAAATGCATTGCATACTGTTGGCCATTGCGAGAGCGTATGGGCAGAGGGTAGCCTATAAATACATGAACATTCATACATCTTGTGCGAGTGGGGACACCCTGTGAAATTACTGCCAACAGTTGATGTGCTAATAGAGAGGGCTTTGGCTACAAATATGGACAGAAAGCTTGTTCCCCTGTCGATGCGACAATGATAAATTCATTCATGGTTTATCAATGGATAGAATCCACCCATGGTGACATGCTCCCAACCTATCAAAATGTTCAAATGGTCTTATGCATTTGGGAATGCAAAAATGACACTTTGCCATCGTTTTTTGGTTGTTGTGGCTGGTCTCGCTTTGCAGTCCGTGAAGGTATTAGAGAGCAGGTTCCCGTACCTGACGCGGTGAGGCGGTTCTACCAGTCGTCGGACAAGCAGGTAGGGGTCCAGGGAGCGGGCCCCCAGTCACGGACCAACCTGCACAGGACGTCGCCGTTCAAGCAGCGGTCGCGCCTGGGCAAGCCCAAGGCGAGGATCAAGCTGCCCACCCGACATGACGCCATCAAGGTCTTCTCGTCCAGCAGGCCCATGAGCCGGGCCGAGCGCATGCAGCTGGAAAAGGAGAAGGTGGGATTTTTTTTCTCTAAGATGTAATCTAGCCACGAGATTCAGAAGCCATTGCAATGCTTACCCAGAGGCTTCACATGCATCTTTCAATTAATAGTGTTATGACTTGACAAAATATGTGCCCCTTAAGTTCCAGTGTGTGGTGCATGCACTTGTGTTGCGTCCCTGCAGTAGCGAGCCTATTTGGATCTAGGATGTTATCATGAACAAGAGACAGAAGCCTTGTAAAGGTTGCTTTCGGGCCATGTCCGAATGGCTTGGCCATGACTTGAAATTCAGGTAAAGCAATTCCAACCCTGGCAAGCTCCATGGGCGAGTCATTAAGATGTCTGCATTAGAAAGGAGGAGGTCTTGGGTTCGAGTCCCACTCGAGTAGGCTAATGATTTTTTCTTTAGCTCTTAAACAAGCACCGATTATATGTTGTTTATGAATATATGTCAGTGTAAAACCTTTCATTAAAATCAATCCCGTTTGTCCGTTAGTAAAAAAGAAGTTGGTATCCGTGCTGGAACTTCATTTACTTGAACCTTTAGGAATAAGATTGCCGACACCCTTCATCACAAGATTCTATCACTTCAGACAAAACTCCAAGCAGCATTCACAGTAGTTGCGTATCAGTGTACCTTGCTCATCGTACATTAGACCTGAATCCTAATAAAATACCCTCTACGACAATTTTGTTTCTCTTTCCTGGTCTCAATCTTCAGGCAAAGCTGCGCAAGTTGGAGGCCAACCGGACCAGCTCTTCCAGCCTGACTGTGGCCAAATTGAAGGCTAAACCCCAGATCGAGCCCCTGAAGATTACACACCATCGTATCAACATCGACTTCAAGGTCAGAGGCCGCCGATGCTGCCGTAGTGCACACCACACATAGGAAAAATCTTGGTCCTTCTTTCTGTTGAGCCAAAATTTGAGCATTACGGTTTAGCGCGCGTAGAATGCTTTCATAGAAAACTCTGAAGTAAGTGCTTTTTCCCTGTTGCCCTCTGGAACTGTGATAAAAGGATTACATAGGATACGACCCCACGTGTGCAGGAGAAGATTAGGTTTTAAGAAGGTCATGTGGGAGCGAGCCGATGGCGACACCCAAGAAGAATAGGAAAATGGATAAAATTTCTGACTGAATCTTAACTTCATGTGGCAAAATCTGAAGAGCGCTGTTTCCGGGGGGGGGGGACTGGTGGCAGATACAGAAAACAATATCGTAAGAGGTCTGTCGTCCTTCGCTTTACAAATCACAAATATAGCTGTGTTCTACATTTTAACCCTACCCTAACCATAATTGGAGGATTTGGGACTGTCGGGGTACAATCAACATATTTTTCTGTCTTTGCTCGTTATTCCACTCAGGAGGATTATGACATTGACACAGCATGGCAGCGTGGTATCGCCATCTTATCGTCTGAGCCGATGGTCCCCCGCACTGTGTGCTACCTATGTAGCAGCACTGGTAAACATGAGGTACATAAATCTAAAGGGCATCTCTGAAACGGAACCCAAATGATTATTAAGGAGGCAAACCTGAAAGTGAATTTCTGACGTCACAAAAAATTGTTTGGGAAATTCCGTTTTGCTGTCATGGGATGAAATTTGTCAGGAGATTTCATCATTTGTTTCTGGAGCATTTTCCTGATTTTAGGAGTTTCCAAACAATCTCTTTTAACCCCTTCGCTCTGGGAGACAGTAAGAGCCGCCGTAAAAATTGAGATCCTCAGCCCGCTTTTCAGCTATTATTCTCCGCCTACGCTTGAGCGAACACGGTGAAAGAAGGCAGACCTTGGTTCTTGTATATATGGTGAATGGCCTTTGTGTAGCCCAGAAATGAAAAGACCGAATTTGCATCATAATCACCAGCTTCACAATAGTCCCCACTTTGAAAAAAGGCAACGGGAATGTGGAAGCGTGAGTAGAGCCGCATGCCACCAAACAATGAGCCTTTCACTGTGTAATTCAAGCTGCAAAGCACGCAGGGCCACAAACCGAGAATTCGCGGTTTGGCAGGTGGCCTTCGTGTCCAAGCGAGGCTGGAATTCTTGGAGTCGGCAAAAAAATTCCCGTTGTCAAGGGGTTAACATCTGGAAAATCCTGAGTTTACTGTTACGGTGGTTTTTCATATGAAAGTCGATAACACAAGACGGGTGAATAAGGGATGTTTTTAGACAAACAAATGTATACCATAGACTCAACATTGCAGGGGGCCCACAAACATTTCGTTGATCATTTGATTTTACTCCAATCTCACCTCTGTTCTGTGTTCGCTTTGTGATGTCATGTCCGTCCTTGTTTGACTTTGCTGAGGGAATCTTAATATGTGAAGTGCCTCAACTCGGCTCCAGCTGAGCACGCCAATCCCCAATTTGTTTTACGCACACCCGTCAAGTCCACTAAGTCTGTTGGGGCAGATTGTGTGTCGGGCTTCCACGTGGTCGCTGTGCATGGCTCGTCGTGGTCGTAACTATCACTCCATTAGCTCACCCCAGAGTGATGCAAAATGTAAGATTGCATGAAGAGATGTTGTAAATTTTGACTTCAGTAAATCAGTTCTTGTGGCATTCGGCTGTATCTTTAATGCCTTTTCAAGAGTCCATATTTTCAGGCAAAGTTAACGCCGTCTCCAAGTGGTTGATGGCAGAGATTGTATTTGCACCTAATGATAATCTTGTTTCATGCCGACAGCTGATCTATTGCAATGTGTGCTGCGAACCGTTTCACTCCTTCTGCCTGGAGGAGTTCGAGCGCCCTCTGGAGGGAGAGACGGAGAACTGGTGCTGTCGACGGTGCAAGTTCTGCCACGTCTGCGGCAGGCAAGACAAGGTCGGTGCACTTTTCCACGCATTTCACGGTGCGACTGTGGGTAACACCGTCTTGATGGAGGGTACATCCACAAACTTATCATTTAGCTGAGGCTAAATAGGGAATGATCCCCAAAACCTTGCTTTGAGTAATCGGCGGCTGAAGTTGGATACACGTAAAAAGTCATGTCGAAAATCATTCCTCAACATGCCATGGCAGGTCACATGAAGAAAAAAACTGGAAACATGCCAAGTCAAATGCATTTTTTGGCAGCGTTTCTTATTGGTGTCCTTTGCAGCTTCTGACATGCGACAAATGCCACAGTAGTTACCATCCGGAGTGCCTGGGGCCAAACTATCCAACCAAGCCATCTAAAAGGAGAAAGATATGGGTGAGGAAATCGTCTTCATTATTCATTATTTCAATATCCGTTTTCCCCGCCAGGATCGATCAGCCCTCAGCGTCTGGATTTATTCACTGCGCCTCTTTCTGGTCTTTCAAAATAATATTTAGTACTCAGTTTGTTGCGCAGTAACGCCTACCGAAAGCTGCTGTTTGCCAAAGCAGTCGTTCAGATTTCAGGATCTTCCATCCCAAAATTCAAGTGGGTGGGAGATGTAATCATTCAAGTTTAGCTATTTCTCTATACTTTTTGCAGACATCCTGTGTGCAAGATTGATGTATCTGTCACCTTTTAAGAGAGAACTCATTCTGTGTTAGTTGCTAAAAGCACTTGAAAATCACAGTCTTTTGTTTCAACCCCGCTGCCGCATGTTTTGGAATTCTCTTTATTTCCTTATCCCGCTCAACTGTTACCGTTACCTGTGTCTAGTTGAGACAGTGTACAGTGAAGCGACAGAACCAAGCAGATTACCATGTCAATCCTAAATTTTCCTGGATTCTTCAATATCCTTCTTGGAATCTTCAGTGCATTTCAAATTGGTTTTGTTTAGATGTTGACCCTGTATTTCCGCTTTTACACTTGATTTGTACAAAAGTAAAGGAACTGTTCACATTTCAGCTTATTGCTAGCTGTTTTCGGTTTTGATTTTAACTTGCCACTCGCACCCCTGAACACAGTCAGTCCAAAACAGTCAGTCCATTTGTACATGGCATAAATGGCTCGACACTCCTGGAGCATCAAGGAATATGCCATTAGTTTCCTGCACATCGGAGGATTGAGGAGGAACAGGCACAAATATTCTAGGAGTCGGGAATCCGGTTTCATACATTGTTGAATGACTGTGTGGTCTCGTGTTCATCAAAGGTGTGCACAAAGTGCGTCAAGTGTAAAAGCTGCGGAGCCACCACCCCGGGTCAGGCACCCAACGCCCAGTGGTCGCATGACTTCTCGCTGTGTCAAGACTGCGGTAAACTCTTTGACAGAGGTAAGGTATTCATGAATCTTTGGTGTGTGTACAGTTGCATATCCTCACATCAAGCTGTATTTTTTTTTTTTTGGCAAAAGGACTTTGCAAATTTAATATTTAATGCTGTTGACGTGAATTTGTTAGGAATGTTTTTTCCTTAAGACTCTTTCAACTTTCAGGATTTTGATTTGCCAAATTTTGGACTGGCATCTTAAGCATGTTATTAAAGTTTACTAATGTTAAGTTATTTGTGCAAAAGCCCCATGTAAAGGTTTCTCATAATTGCAGCAATTTATTTCTGCAAACTTGTCCTTCGTCAGCTGTTAAAAAGCCCTGAAAAGTCAGTTTTGTCAGGGCTTTCAACAACCGCTCTGCTGGATGTATGGTGGATTTCTCTTCATTACCTTGAATTTGATTTCGGTTTCTGTGAAAATCGGTGGTGTACAACCTGTAGGTGAAGAAGACATGTTCGTCATTTTGTACTTCTGTGACAGGCTAGCAAGCAAGTTATACTTTCCTAATCGCAAGCGGCTGAGGCCTTGAAAATGAATGACCCCTGCATCAGACTGAATTTTAAACTTGACAGATGTATTCATAGATTTTACTGGCATGCCATGTAGCAAAAAGATTTTTTAAAACTTGCTTTTCTAGGGTTAGGGACATTTGTGAGTGAGTGGATAGTTCAGTGGTGGTGCACGTAATGGTCAGCAAACTCGCTGGGTTTTTGGCGTGGTCAGCGATAGTTGTATATTCCGATGTTTCTTTGGTCCCTGCAGGGAATTACTGTCCCATCTGCAGCCAGTGCTACGAGGACGACGACTACGAGTCCAAGATGATGCAGTGTGCGGAGTGTGACCGCTGGGTGCACGCTAAGTGCGAGGGCCTGACAGGTACGCTAACCCCACATGAAATACCGAGACCACTCATCCCCGGCTTGCATTTGGTTGTAGGTTGTGATTTTTGAAGTCAGAATCCCTGGCAGAGTCAAGCTTTTGAGATAAGGGCCGATTCGTTGACTCTGGGCCTTCAAGCGTTATCTGGTGGCTCTTGTGTCAACCAGTTGATTTGTGATTCATGCTGTAAACTTTTTCAATAAATTGAATACAGAATTCTTTGACAAAAAACCATCTAGGATACCTTCTACAAGGCATAGGGTAACAGTCAAGACAAAAAGGGAGCCAAATCCAAACATTCTTGGCTTGTAACGTCACTAATTTAGGATGAAAGAAGGGTCTGCTCAGTTGAGAGGCTGAAATGAACAGCACGCATTGAAAAGACACATGGCAAAACACATGTTTCCTTTTTGACGATATCTCAAGGCAGATCGCTTGATCCGTTACCACCAATTAAAAACTGGCAGTTAAATTTGCCTGAGGCCATTCAACCAATTGAGACCATAATGGATAGGAAAAACCTATAAAATTTGTCAGTCATAGCACAGAGTGACGCACACAGTGGTTTTGATGCACCAGGAAATGGCGTACCGTTTCTCAGATGTTCTTCGCTCATTGCTTCAGTTTAATAGTGGTGTGGCAATAACATATGATACCTCAGTTCATGGTGAGACCGCGCAGTTCAACAGGTTTTCACAAGCATGTGGGCCTTGTTGACTGCCACCTTCATGGTAGGGTGAAATAACGTTTGAGGGTACACCACTGAAACAATCTCTTCCAGGAGAAAGTGTTGGCTCTGAGAAGAGCTGATGGTGAGAAACGTCTTGATGTGTGTTCCATTTTTGTGTCAGTGTTGTATTCAAGTCCCTCACAAGTCCTTTCTCATGCCCCTTCACAAGGCTAGTCACAAGTGACAGGGTGAGCAATGACAAAGGAATGCTTTTGTCATAGCTCATTTGAATAGCTTGTGAATTGGCTTAAGGCTGAATGACTTGTGATGGACTGACGGGGACTTGCAGGGACTTGTGATGGACTGACGGGGACTTGCAGGGACTTGTGATGGACTGACGGGGACTTGCAGGGACTTGTGATGGACTGACGGGGACTTGCAGGGACTTGTGATGGACTGACGGGGACTTGCAGGGACTTGTGATGGACTGACGGGGACTTGCAGGGACATGTGATGGACTTGATACAACACTGTTTTCTGTTTGTTCGTGCCCCCCAAGACAAACAGAGCATACTGTTCACAGCATTGCAACCTTTCTCACCTAGAGCTCCTCTTAGAGCCAGCATTTTTCCCGAGAGGAATTACTTCTACGGTGTGCGCACCAACGGTGCTTCCCTTATTGCCGTGTTGTTTTTATCCACCCTTGTATCTCTGTTCACCTTCACCGTTCCCGCCCCATTCTCACGACAGACGACATGTACCACATCATGACGGATCTTCCTGAGAGTGTCCCCTACCACTGCGTCAAGTGTGAGCCCGTCCGGCCTGCCAAGTGGCAGGTGGAGTTGGAGGAGGAGATGGAAGCGGGCTTCCAGAATGTCCTGCGGGCCATGTTCCACTGCCGCAGTGCCGCCCACCTGGTCAGTTCTGAGAAGAAGGTAAATGTAAGGCTGGTTCTTCAGAATTGACTTGAATTTCTCGTCGCAGTCTTGGGCCACAATTGTTTGGGACTTGAGACCAAAAATTGGCTTGCCTTTGCTTGGCTCTGCTTGGATTTGGTAATTGAATGACTTGGGATCTGACCTTACCTGAAAATGACTTGACAAGAACATGATTTGACGCTTCACTTAACAAGAAAGTGACTTGGGCCTTGATTTGTTTTAGAAATTAAATTGGAGTTTGACATGGGAAAGAAGTAGCTTGGTGTGAATCCTCTAAAACAACTCAGATGAGTTTGGAGAAGTAAGGGTTAATGTGTGTGATAGAGTGTGCATATAACCCTCACTGTGGTAAAGTGGGGTAACTTTACACTTCTACCATGCAGGAAATATAACTTGTTTTGAAGTTGATGAGTTCTGGAACAGAAGCGATGGGCTTGGTTTCATGCAGTTTGCTCTCTTTGTCGACTGAAGACTGACTGTACTTTAGCATACTGTCCAAGGCATTCAGTGCATCGGTTCTCAGCACACTACTAACTCACCAAAGAAATGTTTCCCATGTGGCACTAAAAGAATCTGCTTCATGTTCTTTAGTCCACTGCGCACCTTCCGATCTCATCTGCTTGCAAAGTTTGCTGTCACTGTTTTCTTATCAAAGTGCCCGATCCTTACCTCATTGACACATCCAGTTGCGGCATTCTTGTCTTTCTGTTATCAGGTCAAGCACGGTCGGTCTGCCAACCGTTCAGCTTCCCCTGCGAGTTCCAGCGGAACAACCCGTGACCTCACTGCCTCCCCGGCCCTGAGTGACACGCTGTCAGCTGATTCTCACTCCAGCCCCGCCGACTCCAGGATAGACCTCTCCTCACGCCGGGTCTCGCCCCGATTTCTCAAGGACCCAAAAGTTCTTACAGGAAATCTGGTCCCAAGAGCTGGGGAGAAGACTGATGTAACGTCGAAAACAGCTAGCTCAGTTGCCTTGGAGTCTTGTTCCCTTGGAGACGGACAGAAGGAAGAGGATACAGTGGGTCTTTTGCCAGATACCACTGGTACTGTTGCCAGGGAAACTGAGATCAAAGATGAAGTTATCATGGAAACACTGAGTAATGAATACAGCTCAACTGATGAAGTTGGTACAGAGAAAATGCTCTCTCCGGAGAGTTCTACCTCTGAACCTGATCAGTCATCCAGAGAGCATTCTGAGGGTGGAACCTCTATGGATTTCTCACCAGTGAGATCTTCCAACTCACAAACGGTCCAAAGTACTACAGTGGATACAACCAGTCATAAGGAAACGTCATTGGAAACCAGGACTTCAGGGAATGTGCAGTGCCTCCAAACTGGTCTACCGGTCCCACCAGACACTGACTGCCTGAAAACGGAAACACCTGTAGTGCCGACCAAAGATTTTCAAGAAAATGTGGATGGGTCTCCCAAACAGGATTTTCAAGAAAATGTGGATGGGTCTCCCAAACAATCTATACTTCCTGGGGAAAGTGTCACTGAATGGAGTAGTCAAGACAAACAGGATGAAGATGAAGCACTGTCAAGACCTCTGTATCCCACTTCTGCAACCAGTGACGATTCCAAGCCAGTGGCTGCCTCTCCCATTGTTGAGCTGAGCGAACAGTCTCCAGATGTAAGAATGCACTCTCCTGAAAGCCATCCCAAGGAAGCAGTAGTTTCTGAACTGGTTTGCCAAATGTTTCCAGAACAGGAAGAGCAATGCAAAAATGAGCAAAACGAAGAAAGAATTGTTGCACTCGGTAGTTCATGCAGAGAGGTTACCCATGCTCAGGGAGATGAATCAAGGAATGCAAGAGATGCACAGATTGAGCAGGGGCCCCAGAACATGGATAATTCTGCCCACAGTGACATTACCAGTGACTCTGCAGACCTTTCACATGTCAGTGCATCCAATGCAAGGGACTCCCCAAAAAAGCAAATCGTTCACCCTGCAGCTTGTGATGTCACAAGTCATGATTCTCACCGGATATCTGAAATTCAAACGAGCGACAACTCCCCCAACTCTCAAAGTGTAGTTGCCCCCTCAGATAATGTCTTATCCAAAGATGGGATTAAACATTTGGACGAATCCATTAGCTCAGAGGTGAGTCTTTTCAGAGGTGTGGTGGAGAAGCCGTCAACAGAGGCTGACAACCCAAAAGATCTGAAAGCAGTGAGCAGGAGAGTGAAAAACAAACACTACAAGACTGTTGTAAGTTCAGAAGTTCAATGTACTAGATTTCTGTCATGATACCATCAATGATAGCTTGTCCCTAATACCTCTGAATATGAAACATGCAGAAATGTAATATACAGACTGTTAACCCCACACTTTAGGCAAACACCTTTGTGTCATAATAAACCTGCTGGCTAGAGAAGTGTGATTAGTGTTTTAAACTGAAGCCAGACATAAAGTACAAGTATTTTGCCAGGTATCGGGGTACTTGTCACAGCTGTAAATCTTTTGACACGTTTGTTGCATTATGTGACATGTTTCTAGCAGCATTTTGACTTTCTAGTCTCTACAACTGTCAATGAAAACTTTGGAGAAACTAAACTTATGATACAATGCCGCAAGTAGTGTGCCTGTTTATGTGTTTTCCTTGGTTATCTGGTCCCCAAGTTGCGGTAGACCGGAGGTTACAGTGGGGCATGCCCAAATATCAAGTTTGAATGTAAATATACGGTGTAGACAGAGAGACGAAAACAAGAAGTATTCCCACAAATTGTTTATTTCTCTGACCACCCAGGCCGAGTTTTGTGATGACTGCGTGCGCATCATCCAGCAGGCGTTGTCTTCGGAGGGGGAGCAGTCGCTGAACCTCAAGCGCAACAATCGCACCGCCTGCTCGGTTTTCCTCAAGCACATGACCAAGATGTTCCCCTGGTACAAAGTGGAGTCGTCCAGGTCCTGGGAGCAGAATCAAAAGTTTCCCGAGTGAGTGGACCATCCCACTGAACTTTTAGGGGTTGTCTGCATGACACCTGAACCTAATGATGTGAAACTTTAATCTGTAACTGTTATGTTGTCACGGTTTTTACGTTTATCATGTAGATGTAATCTGCCGGGGGTAACTAAGCCATACATGTGTGTGAGTGATGATTGCATGTTGTTTTTGCTGGTGAAGATGACGGTAGCCTAAAACATGGGATGTTGATTTCTCAACTATTCACTTTTTCAAAGTTTAATCTAAGCCATGCAAATCTCACAATTTCTTCTGATATGTACTGTATGCTCTGATTGACTGAAATTTCATTGCTCAGCGCAACTTGAAGTTGTCCCTGCATTTTTGTGTTCATTTTTAATGCTGTTGAACATTTTGAGGTTCATTTCTGATTCGTAATCGGTGTCAGAATTGGTACCCTTTTCAACTGATCAAAGTTTTTTCAATCTTCAACGTTGTGGAAGTGTTTAAAAACTGATTTGTGATTTGTGGAGTGTGATCATGGCCTGTCTGATCAACCAATGATTTTCTTCCTTGCATTGTTCAGTGGTATGCTGTCTCAGGCCGTCCTGCCTCCCCACAGTGACCACGAGTATGCTCAGTGGAAGCACACCAACCACCCCTTACCCACAATGCTTCAGCCATCCCCCTTGAAGCGTCTCCCCTTCTCCCCGACAAGCCGGACGCCAGCCAGAATCATCGGTAAAGTTTCAGTCGGTAGCTCTGAAAATCTCACTGTCTCGCATTGTTCGCCTTGTTTTTCCCTCATGTCTCGGCTTCGACTGTTTTTTGTCCCACATCTTAAGCTCCGCATTCAATTTCTGGCAACTATTTACGGAACAAAATGAAATTCCTGAAGCCCTGGGCCCCTGTATCAGGTCTTTGCTCTCTAGGTCTTTGCTTAATGTTTTGCTTAGGATGAACTCTCTGTGTGCCTCTGTCACAGTCTGTGTTCTGTTTGGCCCCTTCTGAAGCCCACATTGATACACTTTCTCAGCAGCTCTTGTAGCCTATAGAATCCCCTAATCTGTACTTTTAAAGGATGAATATGGTTCTGGTTTTACCGATACCAGTGAAATGTCTTTTCAAAATCCTCTATGGAAGGTGTGACCATCTTTTACGTGTTTTGTCTTAGGAGGAAATGCCCAAGTGACGCCATTGGCCGAGCCAGAAACAGACGACACCAGGAGATGCTGCTTGTGCGGTCGTTTCTCGGACGAGGACCCAAACGATGGAGGCCGGCTACTGTACTGTGGGCAGGTAAAGACAAAAATGCCCAAAGAGCAGATTGATTGTGAGCCACATGAGTCACATGGTTTTAATATCTGGCCTGTTCATTTTCTATTGAGGATGTCTGTAGTCCAGTGGCTTTGTTTGAATTATTTGGCCGTCGTTTGGAAATGCGGCATGTCTGTTGCAAATGCCCAAAGATCCAACCTGGGGAGTCAATCCCCACCTAGGTCAGCATGTGGATGGGGGAATCAGTCCCTGCCTGACTCCGAGGGTTTTCCCCTGGAATATTCATCGTGGGTTTTCCTCCCACCTCTAAAACTGAACACCTCTTCATTGTCTTCTTAATAATCACTTCATCCTGTAGTTGGCGCTAAATGAGCTGTTGGATGCACAGATATAAATAAACATCATGACTGTATCATGTAGGAGGGACAGATACCTATCTCCAGAGCAAGAACACAGTGCTGACTGCTTTTATCTATTAACTCTATCGTAACGATCCATCTATTCCCCAACCTTTCTTCCAGGACGAGTGGATCCACATCAATTGTGGGCTGTGGTCAGCGGAGGTCTTTGAGGAGATGGACGGGTCACTCATCAACGTCCACGCAGCCATCTGGAGGGGCCGGCAGTTGGTGAGTCCCACCTCTTCAGTCTCTGCCAGTCAGGAAATGTCCTATTAAGGAAAACTACCCTATTCTGCCCTAGATCCTTCGAAATCCACCGGTGGTTTTAGAATTGTCGGACTAGGGAAGGTAGAGCCTAGATTCTATTGCTTCATATGGAGTCCGTGGGCTCAGCCAATGAGTTTACTTGACACTCCCCCCCCCCGAGTCTGAATTTGGGTTCCAGCACTGTGGAGGATTTTGAAAGGTTTGTGAAGGGTCTAATTGATAATTACTTGGTTACAACGGACGGTCAGTCACAGTTGGGTATTTTAGAATTTTATAGAGCAGGGTGTGAGAATACAGCTTTTTGGCTGATCCCAGCGCTTTTTTGTGCAGATGTTGACCGTGAATTTCGGCTTTCTTGTACACCTGGTCTGTACAACACTATGGGAACTTGTTACGTTTCAGCTTTTTGCTAGCTGTTTTCAGCTTCAATTTTAAGTGGCCACTCACACCCCTGATAGACTCGCAAAGTTAAACATATCGAGATCTACAACTGGTTAATCTCTGGTCATAAAAACTGTAATCTTCCACGCTCCACACTGAATAGAAGCAGTGTTATCCACTTCATGCCGGGGCATTTTTCAATGTTGATGATGCTGGGCCGGCATGACTATCATTTCTTCCGTTTTCAACATCCTTCAAAAATTCATCATTTCATTTAACGGTCATTTATAGCCGCACCAAGTAATATTTAGGCACTACTCTAAGTTGACAGGTGACCTTCATTGACGACCGAGTATTTCAGCCAGGCCAGCAGCCTTGTAAACAGCCCAGATTGTGCGGTGTTGTGTAACTGTCTTTGTTCACGGACCTCGCTTAGTGCACTGCTGACCTCTTTTCAATAGGGGCCAGATTAGCGTGCCGCGGTGCTGTGTGGCTCATCGCTGCGTTGGTGGAGAGCTTTCGTCCCCCGTGGTAATCCGCTCGCTCTCAATGCCCCAAACCCTGGTATACGGTTTCAGAAACAAGGCTGGATTATCACCACTTTTGAGAGTGAAAAATGTCGGTAATGCCCAGCAGCCTAGTCTTTTGTTCGGAGTACGGTCTTTTGTTACAGGGCCCTGTTTCCTTTGTCCGAGTTCGGAGACCCCGGCCACCCATATAAACCATATGTCTCCGATTCCGGAGTCCCCGGCAGGAAGTGGTTATGCACCGGTATGGAATTGCTGTTTTGTCCTACTTTGTTTGCTCAAATAAACTTGTTTTCCCCAATTATAATAAGATGTCCTTTTTTTTCAAAGCTTCACCCTGGTTTTTGTTTGAACTATGCATTGCATTGCTGAAAAATGAAAAGTCCTGCTTAGCTCACAAGTTCACTGAGACGTTATAAAACTAATGAAACTAGCTTGTAGAGGTCCTTGAAAGATTACAGTAGGCATTTTGAGTATTTCTTTACGCCTCGATCTTTTTTTGGCAGCGCTGTGAGGGTTGCAACAAGTTTGGAGCCACTGTCGGCTGTTGCCAGCGGGGCTGCCCGGCCAACTACCACTTCATGTGTGCCAGGGAGAAGAACTGCGTCTTTCAGGAGGACAAAAAGGTGTTCTGCAACACCCACAGGGACAAAGTGGACCGAGAGGTAAGTGGCTTGCCACTCGGGATTTGGGCCATGGCTGTGTCAAAGTCTGACTATCAAAGGCAGCAAGAAAATGGCAGGATTATTTTATAAATTAGAAAATACTGAAAATTAGCACAAGTCAAAATTGTAGTGAAAAATAAATGAAATCTTTGGAATGACGAACAAAACTAGATAAGAAGTAAGAAGATATACAAGTACATAGGAAGCTCCGTTGATTATAGATAATTTGCAGATATTGATATATTGGCAGCGCGATATCGATAAAACTGATATATCAAATTTTTGTGAAAAATGTTTTCAAGCTCAAAACCAGTGCTGAACACCTTTTGCCGTTAGGCGGCTTACCAATTGGTCCTAACCGTGCAGCACACGATAAGTCTGCTGGAATTTGCAAGCTTCTTTAATCTTCCCCAAACAAAAGAGCACCCGACAACACCAAGAACCTGCAGTCATATCCATACTCCTGCCAGTCTGCGATCTGAGCGGCCGGCTTCGTTGATGATTAAGATGGAAAGCTTGTGGTAAGCACCATGCAATATCTCTTTTTGAGTCTGTGTGGTTCTGATAAGAACCGGAGAGGCTCAACGTTTCAGACAGTGTGCTCTGTCCGTCGTCAACATCAAGGTGTTCCACACAACCCCACTCAAG